CACCCTTCCCCCCTCTTCTCTCTATTTACTGAACATGATAATTGTTATGGTCATTACGATTTTCATTTTCTTTTTTTGCTGTACATTTTTCTTAAATTCGGTCAATCCTCGGAAATCTTTCGGAAATTTCAACTTTCCGGAAATTTTCCTCTCTCGGCTATATTTTCAATGATTTGTATCGGAAGTGATGATTGTTATTGTAAGGGGATAATATTACTGGTGTGTGACGAATCTTTCCGAATTTCGGGAACAATTACATTCGTTGGTTGAGACCGGATTGTCACTGGGGAAATTATGATAACCGTTGAGCGGATGGATATGATATCGCTCAATCGGATATAGGGAAATTGTCATTTTCCGTGACTTCCGTTTATTCAAATTTATCTTGGCCTCCTCGTTTTATCATTTTCCCGAAAATTCTCGGATTTTTCAAAAAGATTTGAAAAAATATGAGAATTCAAAAACACTCTTTTCATTATTAAACTTTTTTCATTATTAAAAAAAAATCTGAAAATCGATAACTTTTGAAGAATTTAGAAAGACGAAATTTCTTTCTCACCGAAAATTTCAGGATTTATTATTGATTTACTTGAGTATATTTTAAATCTAAAAAAATTGCACATGAATAAAATACAATGACAACAGCGAAATCCAGAGTAAAACGGAAATTCGATTTTCAGCTGAATAAAATTACCCGGCACTTGCAACCTTTTCTTTGAGCTGTTAATTAAAAAAAAATGATTGTGGCAATGGGATTGAGTTGATTTTTAATGATTTTTCTTGATGAGAATTTGTTGAGAGATTGTTGAGAGGTTGTCGAGGGATTGTTGAGGAATTGTTGATGGATTGTTGAGAAATGGTGGCCCTTACATTTGAATTTCGATCAAGTTTGAAGTAATCAACTTGACATCTTTGTTCGTCATATTTATACCTAGAGTTCATAAACGTTTTTCATCAACGTCATGCACAAAGTAACCGAGGAAGGGAGAGACTCTCACGTCCCACACATATTTAACAACTCCCCTCACCCTTCCATCCTCATTCCATCCCTCTGGATCCCTCTCCATCCTCTGGGGAACTCCATGTCTCGCATTCAGAAACACTCGAGCAAGCTTACTCTTTCATCCTATACCCAAGATATTATGCCCCACCAATGTTGCCTCGTTTATGTTTCAAGACGCGATTTCCTTCGCCATTTATCAGGCTCGTGGCAAATGCACATTGTCTATTGACTATCTTCTCAATTTACGATTAAAAACTTTCCAGGTTAAAAATTACTTCCCCAAAAAATTATATGCAACATACCAGAATGTATTCTCTTGTCAATTTTTTTCAAATCGTTAATTCTCGTCATTAATGATTTCGCTCTCGTATTGAGACAAATTTCACACGCACATTCATTCGAAATGTTTGAATCGTAAATTTAGACATGATGACGTGGTGGTGAAATTTTTTGACATTTTTTACGGTTTGAAATTTTTTGAATTTTCAAAATTTTCCCGCTCCCTCCACCCGTAGGTTAAATTTTTTTCAATAATTTGCAGTATTCATCAGTTTTAGCGATGATTTTAAAATTTTTACAATTTTCTCAATATTTGATGTTTTTCGAATTTTATATTTACCCGCCTCCCGCCCCTGAAATTTCTTCAATAATTCGCAATCCGGTTTCCGGTGCCGCAATGCTTCTCAAAAAATTTCCTCATAAAAAAATTCGTAAAACGTGAAATATTTTGTTGATGAGAATATTTGATTTAACAACCAAGAGCTAAATAATATTGAAGAGCTCAATTTTTTGGGTCAGAAAAAAAAAATGAAACTTCACGGTTAGAAAATTTACCGAAAGAACTCGAAGAAAAATCGATGTCCCGCTCTAGAAATCCCGTCCCAAGAACTTGAGAACTTTTTATCCCCAGTGAAAGTGCCTGAAAAAAAAGAATGAATAAATTTGATAAAAAACATACCGGAGAAATAAACGAGTCCACAAATGATTTCCATGAAAACCGAAGCTATTTTTTTGATAAAAGAGCATCTGGCACACCTGCGCTACCACCTGTTCACACATTTTGGTCCTCTACTCCACATTCAACATCTCAACTCTCGTTGAGAATTAATAACGCCTCCTCCACTCACATAATTGTGCAAAATAAAAATGAAGAGTTGTCGTAAATTCACCATCCTACCGTAAATAGTTAATCTCCATCTCAAGAGTTCTGAGCTCTGAAATTCTCTCTCCCCGAATTTAATCGTACGAAGTCAGTGGAAGTACGGAAATTCATTTTTTTTCCTCAAATTTCTTCTTCAACTTTGCTACAAAATTTTACGCAATCTCTCTTAAAAAAAGCCGACATTGAATCCGAGTGAATTTATTTTCCAACTTTCCTGTCAATTGACATTTCTACGTCATTAACTTCAATTTCCGTATACGCAAAACCGTCGGTAAATTTACAACCGATTGAAACTGAGAGAAATAAAATATCCCGCGATATTCACCGGAGGAAAAATTGAACTTTCTAAGTTGACATATTACTACGTCCCAGGCGTGCGCAGTTTTGCATTCAAAGTCAATCATAATTAACTCTATAATTAAACAATAAAATTAAAAAAACACTCACACACAATTAGCGGATATATTTTTCCATGAGAAATTTTTCCATAACGTCAATGAAAAATTACGGCAGATTAAATAAAATAAAATAAAAAGTTGAAGTTCTCGCGTAATTTTTAATGAAAAAACACTTCATTGAATTATAATTCAATTATTATAATTATGATATATTATTATAAATATAATAATTAAAATTATAATTCTATAATTTTTATTAATATTTTATATCAATTATTCTCTCTGGGAAATTTAGATAGGATAAATATATTTTTCCCTGAGTGTTGAGATTAACTCCCACAAATAACAGAGACATCCATTCGAGTCCCTCTAACTCGGCTGACCACAAACATCCGAATCTACTGGGCATGACTCGGAAATCAAAATTGAATTAAACCCGAGCAACATACTATTCCACAATGAATTCACTCCCCAAAGTTTCCATTTAACTCACATCACCGTATTTAACACATGCCACGCATTTCCGTAATTTTCCTTCATCACTCAAGGGAAAATTATCCCCGGAAGGTTGAGTTTAATAGAATATTGAGTACCTTCAGTTCCCCTAAAACTCCAATCAGCGATTACAACCGTTTACATGAGAGATAACTTCCAATTCCGATGAGGGATCGACCCATTTTTTTTTATTGACAAACAAAATAAAAAAATTTCAATTCAGTACAAAAAGTTTAAAAAAAAATACCCAACAATTCGTGTAATCGCGATAATAATCAAAATAATAATTATTATTAATGATTATCTATGATTGTTGTTTGGACGTGTTTTTAAGAAAAAAATTATTTTCTTCTAATTGCATACATGTTACTGGATTGAAAGGTAAATTAACCGGAAATTCTTCTTCTTTTATCAATTCTCAGGAAAGAATGGAACCCTTCCCAAGCGAAATCAATAGATTTTTTTATCTCTTTCGGTATTCAACAAAATTTTTAATAAAAAATTTATAATATTCGTCATTATTACGATATTTAAAACATTTAGGTCTTAATATTCGCAAAAAAATCGTAATAATAAGAGACTGAATGATTCTCATATACCGAGTAATTCCCAGTGCTTCATGATCTCTCAGGGAGGCAGTGATAGTAAAAAAAAAATCTCTGCATTCAATGTAAAAATCTGCCCTGAAGGACCTTTCCCAGCTTCAATCCCCATTCATGCAATTATAAATAAATCTTGCAGGGTCGGTCCTCGGTTTTAATTGAAAAATGCCCGTACACTCATAGAAATCCCTGAATATTCCTGTATTCACTTCTGGCCGCATCAAGAGTTGAAGGCTTGTCTATTTAACATAATAATAGAAAATAAATGAAAAGAAAAACAAAACGGAACATTTTTTTCTCCTCAGCTCTGCGGCTCGTCAGATGTTCCACTGGAGAAAAAAAAAGGGAAAGAAAAGGAAAAAAATTACAAAAAATACAGTCACAGTTGCTTTCTAGAATGGTCTCAGATTTATTGTCGGTTTTTCCTCGAAGATTTTACAGACGAGGGAGTTTATGGGTTACCAGGCTTTTCACTCTATTTGAGAACGTCTAATAACCCGAGAATTCCCTAACAGGTTTTTGTCCTTTTTGTTCTGTCATAAATGATTTCACGTGAAAGCGTGTCGAGGATGGCTTAGAATTTATTCCGTAATATTGAAGTGCTTTTGGCGGGATAGTCATTGGAACAATGAGGTATTATCGCTACCCTGGGATTCTCTCTTCGAGAAACACAAAACCGTTCGTTTTGATAATCCCACTGCAACGATAATACCGATTCTCGTTTATGGCAAAAGATTATTTAATCTCAGCTTCATCACCGAGGATATATCACTGGTTTCAGCAACAATAGGATATCTCTCATCTGAAATTATTGGATTCTCGGAATATCCGAGAAATTTCCAGTTTTCTATTTTTTTTTTATAAAAGTTCTATAATTTTTTTTTCAATGTTACCCACAATTTTGTCTGAATTTTCAATTCTGAGATTTTCAATTCAATTTCAATTGCAATGATTATTTTACATAAAATACCATTTAGTTATCGTCTAGATCTGAAAATAGAGGTTTATTTGAATATTTTGGAAATTGATTGGTTTGTTGATTAAATATTCTACGGAAATTCTGTGACTCTGTCGTTATTACAAATTTGAAGTTTTTTAAATCTTAGTTTTTTAGAAGAAGTTTTTTAAATTCTAGTAATTTTCCGATAGTTTCGGGAAGTTTGAGAAACGTCGGAATAAATGCTGACATTTCGACGGAAATTATATTAACAATAAATTCTCAAAAATTGCACCTATCCCGTCCCCTATACTTCGGAGCATTGGGTTTGGAGGAGATACGATTTCCCTTTAGGGAATTTAGAATTGGAATTCTCATGAAAAATACATGCGTTTTAAATAGCTGAATAAACAGGTTTGATTCGAATTCAATTATTAAAAAGGTTAATTAATCTGAAATCTATAATTATTCGATGAAAATATGTTTCAAAAATTCAGTATTGACTTGCTGATTACATTCGTCCTAAAACTCGAAATTTCAATTTTTCCCCGCCAAAAAAATCGATTTCAATTATACACCTCATTCTTAAAATTAATTTTTAAAGTTAACGTCATCAAATCTAATTTTTTATATTTTCTCTGTTTCTGTCGTAGGGGTACGAGAACTCACTGCTCAAAGTGACGAGTAAAAATGGAAAGACGGCATCGGTAAGTACTTCCTGAGGTCAAAATAATGACATAATTACTTCCCAAAGAATGAATTCCATGGTCCAATAGAATAGGAGCGAATAACATTGTATTATTCCGGTGAAACCTCCAGTGTATTCAATCTTAGTGTAAGATCTTCTCGATTCCATGTTGTTGCGCACCAGGATGGTAATTGGGTCGCCAGAGTTAAAAGCCCTCGTCGACGGCACGACATCCTACGGGTTAAATCGATCGACTGCTCGGGCTACATCCACTCGGAAAATTTACCGGGTCATTTTATAAAACCATAACCAAAGCGAAGGGTGAATTTTCATCCGAGTGCCAAACGGAATCGCCAAGTCTCAACGAGCCTCGTGGTCCCGCCATTTTTTTGTTAATGGTCTATATTGAGAGGGCCTGAACTACCCTATGCCCTACCCTATGCCCATTTTTTTCAAATCCCTCCTGATTCTTTCGTTAATTCCTATCGAGAATATTCAAAATCATTAATCGCGAGCAAAATTATCATCGGTGGTCTATCTGAACTGACACTCGTCGGTTTTCATTACCCTGATGGAAACCCTGACTTTTGCCTCACTCGAATATTTCATCGCTTATTCCACCAAACTCGGTTCTTCAATTTGGGGTAATTGAAATTAAAGAAACATTAGCTTCTGTACCTTCTAAGTGGGTTGAGCAATTTATAATGGAACTTTGAGAAATAGATGGAAATCCCACTCTCAGATCAACTCACAATTCAGATTAGCGGACTTGTCGAATTATGAATATAATTCTGAATATTTTAATACCTTTCTTGTACATCTCTGTGAATTTCCATTTGACTCGGGGGAGTTCTCTAGGCCATTCTGGGGTAAAAATGCAAATTAAATTAATTCAAATTAACGAAATGGTAAACTGAGATAAGTCCGTTTTGAGTACTGACAATTTTTCAATGAATATCTCAGAATCTAATGCAGATAGTCAAATTTTTATCAGGACCTTTTTTGTGGAGCCAAGTAAGGGCTACAACAAATGTTATTACAAAATTTTCTCTATCTTCCTTTAATTCACAGATATTAATAAATATTAGTAATTATGTCCGGTTACCATTTCACTACTGAGTTGTTCGATGAATTTTCAATTTTTTATATTTTCCGACGCGTAAACCCACATAAATAGATGAATGAAGAATTAAGCAATGAATCGATTGAGAAATTGTCAAGTTGAATTTCTAGACAATCAAAAACAATGCAAATAAATAAGTAAAAAAATATGCAATCATAATTCCTCAATATTGGGATGTCATGAAGATTATGTTCTCATTGCATAACATTCCGTAAAAAAAGACATTATCCCCTGGTGTGCATAAGCAGTGGAATGAGGAAGGAATTACTCCAAGTGTTGAAACCGTTTTTTTTTTTTCACTTATTACGATCATACGTTTTTTATTAGTTTAAAAAAAACATCCATAACTTGAGACTGTGCATGGTATTTACCAATTTCTAAATACAAGTTTAGATAGAAAATATTGTAGAGGCATGTAAAAAATTGTTTTAATTTTTCAGCCAGTGGGTTTTGTAACGTTTCACACAAGAGCAGGAGCTGAGGCAGCGAAACAAGACTTACAGGTAATAATCCGCTTTACGACTAAACCGAAGCACTCAATCGTCCACACAATGGAAATATGTCAGTCCAAATCAACAGAAAGCATAAATCGAATGAGAAGGAAATACAAAAGAACAGTATCGGTAATTCGGGGTTAAAATGTTGTCAACTCATCTGTACACCTTAGCCCAAGGATGATGTCCAAGGGTCTGTGAATGTACTAGTTCAGTTTGCACAGTGTGAATTCATCCTCTATGAATCTTCAATTCGAATTAACAATCCCTCACCCACCCTGATATTTCTGATAAACCATTCACGTGGTGTTTGTTATCGTAATTGACTGAGGCATTGAGTTCAGTATCTAATGATCACATACGTATAAATTATTTTCTCTTTCTATCTTCTAAACCACAACACGCAACTTGACCTCACGCAAACTGCAATGTATAGTCAACAATCTGTTTTTTTTTTTAATCCCAGAGTTTATTCGAGGTACCTCACATCCCCAATGGTTTTCACGTTTTCCCATTTTCCCCCCACCCCCTAAACCAGCGATTAATTCAGACGTCGAATTAAATTTCTTGAATTAAGAATTCTTATCGTTTTTTTTCTGATTAAAAAAAATTATAGTTTTACAACAATTTTCAGGCGTTAATGCAGAATAGAATTGTTCCAATACCCGCAGTCTTTTATTTTCAATTAACAAAGAACGAGTTTTTAATTTTGATAGACAAACTGAATTAAATTGATAACTGGAATGTTTCTCTCATTCCAGCAATTTTCAAAGTCGTAACGACTTTTCAAAATTCATAAAATTAAAAAATTTTATTATTTTAAAATTATTTGTTTAAAAATTCAAAAATTCATTTAAAAAATTGAAACTAAAAATACGAATCCGATGTTGAATATTAAAATATTGGAATCACTACATCAAATGAAATGAATGAAAAATCTTGACCATCACAATGACGAGTATTCTTAATTCAAGAAAATGCCAATTTTTCAGCAATTGCCAGTAAAAGCCGACGCGAAAACAGAATAATCTGGTGTATTTTTGCTCTTCAGGGGTAAATCCCAGGGTTTCCTGGTAAAACCAAGGAAAAAAGCTGGTAGATTTATTCAAGAAAAGATAAAATATCCTAGTGAGTGTTTGATTGATCCCGTCGTTCTTGTGCTGGAGTTGAAGAGAATTTCCGAGGCAGAAAAAAGAATAAAGAGAATAAAATAACAATAGCAAAAAATCCAGGAAAAATGCAAATAAGGAAAAAAGAGATGACGCTAAAGTCCAAGGTGTCCCCATTGTACTAATGTAGGGATCTATTTCCAGCAGGGGGTTAAATTCGATCCTGATATGCCACAAACCATACGTTTGGAATTTGCAAAAAGTAACACAAAGGTTAGCAAACCCAAGCAACCAGCCGCTGCAGCAGCCACCTCGCACCCCGCTCTGATGCACCCTCTAACCGGACGTAAGTATGCACCGCCACTCCGTTCACTCGCTCTGTTTAAACTTCTCTTATGATTTTAATAATTTTCCCCGAGGGCCTATTCATCGGTGAAATCACAATGAAATCACAATGGAATCACAATGAAATCACTATCACTCTGAATTCAAATCATCAAATAAATCCTGAAATCATGTGATATCCATTGAAATCGTGGAATTGAGAAAAGCTTGAATCAGTTGGAGTCAGCAATCATTGTGATATTTTACACCGAATAATCCCTCGATTTTTCCTCTATCATCGATTATCAAATTGAGGTATCGAATCGATCTTTCAGATATTACCTTTTCTGCTTCATGTAGAGTCCTAGAGACATACCGAGGGGTTGTGTTTACTCTAACTCCTGTCACTCACCGTTCACGAATCCTCTTTCGTTCCTGCCTGTTCCTTTTACCTGAGAGACCACAGAAGACCCATGTCACTCGCACTGAACTCCAAAGCACTAAAAAGTAACCGAGGAGATGAGGTGTTTTGAGAGCTCCACATAAAGAGAAGAAACTCATTTTCACAAAAATTATGTGCAACATACATGCAGCAACAAAGTACTCTCTTGACAATTTTTTCAAATCGTTAAATCTCGTGATTAATGATTTAGGTCTTGCAGTGGGAGAAGAAGTTTTTCAACAGAATGAGAGTCTCCGGTTTAGTGAGAATTTTAAAATATTACCAAGCCTGAGATTATGTCCTTATCATAAATTTCTATTGTTTGGGATGTAGCTGGAGTTTTATTTTTCTTTGAAATTTTTTTACGTAATATCCTGCACTGACAATGCAATATTTAAAGTCAAGCTTGCATATACTGAGAAAAAATATCAATGATTATGAAAGTCTTCGTGGTACGAACGAAACAATAATTTTTCGGTTAAAGATGAGTAATCAGATCGAGAGAGTATGAATTATTGCAATTGATTCATTTGTAGACATGACATGAAGTTATAAATTTATGGAAGGACTCATGGTGACGAGTAAAAATTCTCTCGATAAAAAAGAATCTCTTCCTGATGAAAGACTTGTTTCTCACAGTGTGAGAGGGAAAAATTTCATCAGGGCATGTTACGATTTTTGAAATTGATAAAAAAATATTTTGTTGTATGAAGCCAGCACTTTTTTTGCGCGGAGTTTTTTCTCTCAGAACAAAATTGCCATGTGGTGCTAGAAAAAGGCGGGGAAATGAGGTATTTCCTGAGCGATTTGACGGTTTTTTTTTTCTGAAAAACATTGATCAATTTTCGCGAGACCCTAGAAAACCCGTTGGCTATTTTCTCTCGAAAGAACACACCTCGAAATATGTCGAAAGCACGAGAGCGAGACAACAACTTCCCTAAACTAGGTGAAAAGAGGGGACTCTAATACCCTAGGAAAATTGAGTTAAAACTTTGAAGAACGGAGTTTCATCCTCGGTGAGTCATCGTGATAATGAGGGTTTCGAGTTACCAAAGCGACGTCAATTTAAATCCTAATGAGCCTTCGGGGAAAATTCTGTTGGATAAAAATTATCTCCCGCCATTGTTATTTCTGAAAAACAGCTAAAGAGAATATGCACGTAAAAACGATTGTAATTAAGGTTGTGCAACCCCGAGGCTATCGTTCAAATTTTACATCTGATAAAACTTAGCGAATAGCAGGCAGAGAATCGAGTCACGAATTATTTTTTTTCAACGATCGATAATTGATATTTTTTATTGCGATGAACAAAACCGTTGAAAAAAATACAAGCTATCCGACTACTTTTCATACATTTAATTTAATTTCATTTCGATATCCAAATATATCGAACAAAAAAAAAGTTAACAAAGCGAATAATTTCTCTCCACAAAATGAAATTCACGAATATCTCGGAATGTAAAAAAGATAAAGCAATTTTTGTTATAACCATTTTTCCAGAGCTGACTGAGACCTATAAAAAAGGTTACTACTAAAAAATTGCTATTTGCCTTGGATTCCGAGATATTCAGCAAAAATATACTGAGCGCAGAGCAATAACCAAAATCTATTTGAACAGTTTTATCGTTTCGCTACTGCATTCTTGGAAAAAAAAATGAAAAGAAAAAACCGACACATGCGCGAAAGTTTTAATGTGTACGTGCGTGCACATAGTCCGCGGAAAAAGATTGCGTGGAGCAATAAGTGGTGAACCAGCCAATTAAGTTGGCAGATGTAATCAGCTCGGGGACGGCAAATGGAGGGAAAACAGGAGAAAATGGGGGTAAATAAAAAAAACAATATTTTGCAGGGCTGTCTTCACCCCGCAGTTCACTTAGAAATGTACAATATTGATCGGTTCTGGAGGTCAGGTCAACTGGTGATCGATATTTTTGTCGCACGCGACGTTGATTCATTATTGAGACGACCGTTCGGTTTATCGAAGTTAATAGTTGATGGTGAATTAAAAATCCAGGGATAGCCTCGGGCCCTGAATGTAGATCGTTGAGGTCGACTTTTGCTTCTGTCATTCTGTCATTGGATAAAAATTCACTTGTCGGGTGTTTATTTTCGATCGGGCGCCATGAATTATGCACTCGTTCTTCGATTTCTCCGGTTATTTCGTGGCCCATTACACTTTTTACATTAAAATCTCGATAAATATTGTTTCCAAGTCGCTTTCTTCCTGGTTACGTAAATATTTCATAAGATTTTGATATTTTAATCCCCTTGACTCCATGAATTCCCTCATTCCGTGGAATGGCGAGTGAAGAAAGTCAATGGAGTAGTGAAACGCGGAAAAGATACTTGGGATTTTTCAGGGTTATTAAACATGGATTTATCCCGGAACTTATTAGTTTTGAGAAAAAATACCAAAAGACCTTTTTTACCGAAAATTTAGTGAGCCAAAAAAAAGTCCTCTACGATTTTCACCCTGCGTTGATGTCTTTCGAGATAATTACAAAAAAAAGCCAACTTCGTCGTATTACACTTCGACAATTGACTCCGGCATTATTTACCGGGAGTTTATTATTGCATTAGAAATTGGCGGGAGTATAATTGATCAAATTATCAATGATATAGGCGGAAATTATTTAAAAATATTCTTCAAGTTGCGCGGTGGGTGGAAAATGTAGGTCATTGAGACGAATCGTTAACGAAGAGAGAGGAATTATGGAGCCCAACGCAGAAAATTGAATAGTCAAGTGAATACTAAAGTGATAAAGAGTACCTAGGTGGTTTCTATAATAATATAAATGATGAATCGGTTTGTGATAATCACTCAGATGCTTTAAGTGTATTTAAATTGAATTTTTTCAGACTTAGGAAGCCCATTCTTCCCAGGTGGACCAGAACTGTGGCACCATCCACTTGCTTATTCAACAGCTGGTGAATTGCCTGGAACACTTCAACATGCGACACTCGTACATCCTGCGTTACATCCACAGGTCCCCGTACGTTCCTATCTTTGACTATCTGCGGACAAAGCTATGGAGCCACCAACAAGCGCCCCGATGCACGTTAGTGATACATGATCGTTTTACTCCTTCTCATCTCGTTATTTTTCACAAAATCTGTTTAAAATACCTTCTAAACACTTCCGAGACATTGCCAACTAATTTACAAACCCATCAAATTTTTTCTTCATTTACTTTATTTTTAATTTCAATTCTATTAAATAATCAGTTAATCGGTAAACATTCAGTGGTAAATCGGCTTGTCTAATCTAGCAAGTATATTTCGAAAACTACGAGAGATATGAGATTTTTAATGGTAAACTTTTTTGTAGCTCTTCATTAGCTCTACCAAAAAGGTATTAATGAAGATTACGCTATTTCTATTAGATTTCGAGATTTTCACTGAATACTAGTCAATATGCAGAATTGAATTGGTATCGGATAGAGGGTCGTTGGTCTTTTCTTTTTTGCGAAAAAATTCTGGGAATTTGGGTAGTAAAAATTGTAAGTGCCAGTGTACGGAGGTGATTGGATTTATTTTGAACTGATGATTTATTCAAGTTGAGTAAGTTGTTTGAGAACTCTGCGGTTTTGTTTTGATATTTTGTTTTCCCTTGGGGTGTTTTTGTAGAAGTCTATTGTTCGATCTTCAGGTTTGATTTATATTTTTTTGATAGCTCGTATTGATTCACTTCTGTGGTTTCGGGAGGATGAATAAAATGTATACCAGGCACAAACAGGCACCGGCGATGCCGTAGATAAAGTACGATGAGGCGTGGAATCAATGGTTATATCGATCCCCTGTAATAACTCGGTTTCTTGTTCTATCCGTATTTTATTGACGTGCTCCGAGCTAAATGGTTTACGCGTACCGAGTACATCGAGGTACGCCATCAAACCTACGATTTTTTTCCCCCATGAACCCAGAGTGATGGATGAGGTATCCATTATTTCCGGAGGTACAGGAAGCATCGAGGCACCCAAAACCTTCCGTAGTGTCACGTTAGATTCTGACATTTCATTTCATCGATTTGATGTGAAAAAAATTCATAAAGCTATTCGCTTTTTACAAGACTGAAAACTTCTTGATATTTCAGTCCTCGTATTTTCTATTTTATTCAATATAATTTCAATCAAAAATTCTCACTAGATTTTCCGTTTGTCTTGGAAACTTAAGAAAAACGAGTTTCCCATGAGAAATAATAATTCGTCTTGCAATGAATCACTTTAAAATATAAAATAATATTAATATACATTAACTGATTTCTCACTGAAAACTTGAACTTTCAGTACATTGGGAATTCAGGGAAATTATTGCGTAAATTATTTTCAAACTCACTTTCCAAAATCACTTGATGATTCTACATCCAGTGTAATTTTCCAACAGTAAATTATAATAATTTATAAATTTCCTCCATTGAGGCCCTTACGAAATCTCAAGCATCTCGAATGAATCGGCGACTCAATACTCGTCTCTCAAATAATAAAATAAAATTTCAGGGCTCCGCTTCGATCAGATTGTTTAAAAAAAAAAAGTACTTAAAACAGTTTAACATCGTATCCAACGTCAAATGCGGGGAATTAATGTAGAAATCAATCACCCGGGATCGATGTAATATCATTAATCCTGTTGCCATTACTCATACACCATTGGAACATCAAAGTTTGATGCAATACGTCAGTCACCGTCAGGGTAATACCGTCAACAAATGATAGGGAATATATTCGTGCATCAAACAATGACATTAAATTCGTTATCGATGACGAGTGATGAACCAGAAATCCCGGAATTGCAGAGTATCGAAATCTACCCCACTTGAATTACCCCAATTTTTCAGTATTTCATCAACAAATTTCGTTCCGTCCATGACGATTTCATGGATTTTTCGTTAATTAAAAATTCCTCTTTAATTAATTACTGTGAATATCCGCTACAAACATCCACGCAATTACCATATCGCAGTATTGAGCACAAGTTGAATTTTCTGTGATTCAGCCCAGAGAATGAATAAATAAATATTCATTAATTCTGGAAAGTGCATTCTTCTCGCCCTCAGTTTTTAGCCAATATCTCGAAATTGAAGGGAGATATCAATATTATCATTGATACCATTTTTCTAGCTCTCAGGATTTCCTACAAAAAATATTTTTACAAAAAATTCGTTTTATGCCTTCAATCCCGAGATATTGACTGAAGACTTTGGACAAACTGCGGTTCACTGATGAATTTACTAAATTTTCTAGAAAAAATGCAGTTATATCCTAGTTAGAACTTATTCCCTATTGATTTTACTAGATTAGATTTGAATGGTGCATTTGATTTTCAGGCTCCAATGTCTCTGCCGCATCCAACAACCCTGACGTCAATCCACGCATCGTTACCCCACTTTCTACCATCGCCAGCATTAGCATCTCCAGTTGGTTCATCATCATCTCAACCGAGCATTGCTGTCAGCAATGCACCGTGCTCCACTCTCTTTGTTGCTAATCTCGGACAATTTGTGTCTGAGCACGAACTCACCGAGATCTTCAACAGGTAAGTGAATGCACAAGTGTATATATGGGTTACAATGAAAATTGGTAGCACGCCAATTGCCGTGTAATGGATAATAATGGCCACGAGACAACTCTACCCATACGTCGTAATCAACGTTTGTCTTACTTATAGATTATGGCTAGCATTACGTACTCTAGTTGACTTTAAGTTGAAGACATTTTTCACACGCTCTCAATACCCGCTAAGATCAGCATTTTATATTTAAACCGAGTTAAATTACCGAATTATTGCCGATATATTTTCCTTTTTTTAACCAATAATATTTAATTTAACATAAAAATCGGCACTAATTAAAGGTATTTCGACAGATGGGTAATGAGCGACACTCGGTGTCTCTTCTATAAGAATTACCCAAGATGTACCTATCGTTTGCTCATCCCGTTGTACCCCCTAAATGCAAATGACCTATTCATCGAGACAATTCATAACCCACGGAGGACAGATGTAGAACGAACGGATATCCGTTCGCGATATTCACCTCGCGATAAGTGTCAGGTATTCCCACAGGTTTACAATACTACCTGTCACCACCTCAGGACTGTTTTTCCAACATTATTATCTTCTCCACCGTCAGCTACTTTCCGCGATTCCTATCGATTGATAGCGGATAAACATAAACACCCATTCGATCCACAAATTACCCCCAATAGAGAGATAAGGGTAATTACCCCGTAACAGAGTTTTCCATAAAAGCTATCCAGTTGCTCTATTGATTTATACATCTCAGGATGAATAAATATATAGCCTTGAGGAGCCCGATAATACCCGGACGATCGTTTATCCGAGTCTCTTGAAAAGTTTACGAATGAGTGGTACCAACAGTTCACTCACTGAATAGGATATATTCTATTAAAATTCTCATCAACCAACGGGAGAGCGCAGTGGCAACTTCCGGTGTCACTGAGCTCGTTAACGAATCAACTATCTCCCAGGCACTTTGAAAAACTAACGCAAATACTTTTAAATAGCACCGGGGAAATAGAAATTAAAAAGGAAATTACTGTCAGATGGAAATACTAATTCTGCATTAACAAACCCATCAATTTGATAATGTCATTTGCACCCTATTATAAAAAATGGGGGAGGATGGGGAAAGGGGGGAACAGCGAGGTTTCGTGGTAGTGGTAGTAGTTTCCATAAAGGCTCCAATTATTGTTATGGTAATGAATCATTCGCGACTCGTAAAATCGCACTGGGCATCGATTTCATTTGAAAGGGTACGCAATTAATATTCATGCCGTTCAATCCAAGTCAGCCGGAATTCTACGGGCATGCGCACTAGGTTTTTTTTTTAACTGGTCAATTTCGTTTATTATAGTGATGGAATTATTTTTTCATCAGCGGTACGCCGTGACAATTTCATATAACGCCAATTGACGAATATTTTTTTGAGGAGCGGAGAAATTTTATTCCGCAAGTGGTTTCCCGTGGTGGAATTACAATTTGCTTTCGATTTAGTTCGACTCGAGCCATCGAGGCCCCAGTTGAATTTTTGACTGAGTTATCATTTTTGATGATAATTTTGTATTTCTCCATCAAATAGAATTAAAAACACAGAGTAAATAAAAATAATAAAGATGGGATAAAAAAAGTTTTCTCTCTCAGGGGTGATTAATATCATAATTTCGTTGCAAGGAGTTGACAATATATTAAAAATATATAAAAAAAAAATAAATAAAAACAATGTCATTCTAAAAATCAGAATACCTCAAAAATCTCATTAAAAAAAATTAAAAATAGTAAAACAAAATTTATTTGAGTGAAGGGGGTGGGTTCGCAGTCCTGACTCAACAGCCACAGCCACAGCTGGTGTAATTATTTAAAATATTTTATTTTTATCAAAGCCCTGGAGTTGGTGAATCAGAGGGAATGTTCTTAATTAAATTAAATAATGTTTGCAGGGACAGGAGGGGGCGGTAAGGGTGGTAAGGGTGGTAAGGAGGTTAAGGGGGGAGAAAAGCGAAGGGAAAGGGAAAAAAGGGAAAAAAGGGGAAAGAGGGGAAGGAGGGGAAGGATAGAAAGGATAGAAAGGATAGAAAGGATAGAAAGGATAGAAAGGATAGAAAGGATAGAGAATGCAATGTAAAAGGGAATGACCGGTTTGAGACACGCGTGTCTCACAAGGGCTTGAGATCTAACCACCGTAATACGCTACGATACACCCTCAAATTACGCGGCTCGGTGCATCGTGTATATACCCACCCCCTCCCCCTTAACCCCTTTCACCCCACCGCAACCCTCTGTGTTCACCTTTCGATCGATGGCACAACTACCACTTCAAAGGGAGTATTCCTGTTTCTGATAAATAAACTTGGCTTTAATTTTATAAACCCAGGGAACAACCACGATTTCTAGGTGGAAAACGAGCGACATATTTACTGGGAGAATATATACTCGTTTATTTTTATCACGGGGAATGCTCGGTTATTTATTTTATTTATCTATTTTTTATTTTATAGACTTTGGTATGGGGAGGGGGATTATGAATTTCAACGGGATTTTGGAGGTGAATGGGATAGAATGATGAAACTATTTGCGGATGGTTATTTACTTATATGTAAAGAATAGATTAATTTTGTGGTTTCTGCGGGAATCCTTGTTGTATGATATTATGGCAATTCCCTCGGTAATTGTTGCTCGTGGTTTTCACATTACTCCTTTCCCATGATTATCATTTTTGTGATTGTGAAAACCCCGGGATTCTTTATTTTCTCGGGATTTTTGTCTCTACGTTATTGGCAAATGCCTTTTAGCTGTTGCGCAAATTTTTTAACGGTGTATGAAAGGAATAGAAAAAAGCGTTTCTTGACGTTAGAACGGGAATTTTTGAATTCTTGAGGATTACTGGGTCGGAAAGTCCTCGGAACTTCAATCGCAGAGTAATATGAATTTTTAATTGCGTGCGGTTGAATTCAATTTCGGATACAAATGGTTCATGAATTTCTTATTTCTGTTAAAAATTCAAAAAAATTAGGGTTTTTGGGTTAAACCATAATTGATTTGCCAATGAAATCCTGAATTTTCCACATTTTCCGAGTTTCCAGTCTTATGAACTTAAAAATAGAGAATTACCGGAATATTCAAGGAATTAACTGATTCGCCATCAAACAAATGCACAGAAAATGTACAGAAATTTCATGCCACTGTCTTCATTAAAAATTTCAAGTTGCTTTACTTGAAATTTCAAGAGTCCTTTCAGCTCCGTATTTTTTCAATTCTGAAAAATTCCTTCAAACCAGAAACTACTCTCAAATTCATATTTCATAATTTTTCCACTTGAGCTCTGAGAAATCTTTTCCCTCGAGACATTTCCGATATTTTATTTCAAAGCACTCACCGAGTTTTTATGTGCCAACTTTTCATTTAATTCATTGATGTTCCAAGATTAAAGAACATCAATGAAGGATAAAATTAATTTGACACACAAAGGAAAGTTTGTGGTGTTCACTGAAGGCATTTAGAGCTCCAGATTAAATCCCCGATGAAATATCAATCGCCAAATGGATTTATAAAGGATAAGCTCCACGAATGTGTCCGAATGAATAGTATTTATCAGGTGGAATTTGAATATTAGTTCAGAACGATGGACAATCCGTGTATGCCCATGGGTCATTCTGGATGCAGTACCTAACCCTCGACTACGGGAATACCTCTCAAATCCCTCTCCACCGTGGGTTTCAACTCCCTACATACAAATCGATATTCCTCCCAGCTGCACCCCTCAAAAACCTGCAACTGAGCTTTTTTTTTCACCCCCAACCGAGCGAAACCATTGGAGCAATGAAAGGTTTCACCTTTCGATTATCTCGCACTACTTTTTTCGTTTTTGGCATTTTTCATTTCATCCAACCCATCCCCAGGGCTTTATTTCGATACTTCGAAATGGTGTTGTAAATATTTCCACGAGTTATCGCCGCGATTTTTATTATTTCATTTTTTTCTATCACCAAAAAAATGGACGACTAAAAATTGTCATCGTGTTTAAATTCCTCTGGTGTCTACAATTCATATCATCATGAATTGTAATTAAATTTAAAATGCGAAGAATCTTCTTGTATCTCCATTTTATTACTAGAGGATTGACCGACTTTCTGTGGAAATAATTAATTACTGGATAATTACTCATTTTTAATCCAGCGTATGAAAATTTTCAAGAGTCATTCGGTCTAATATCTCGGCGTAAATTATGAAGATGTTTTAATTACGAAGTCTAAAGTTACTTCTGACGTAGATTCTCTTCAACTAGAATATCCCCTGATTTTTCGTTTATTTATTACTTAATAATTAACAATTTTCTCGAACATTTAGAGACTCTTCATTTTTCCCAGTGTTTTATTCAACATGTTCTAGAGTTATTTATCCTAGTCGATTGTTGTCGATTTTAGGTTTAAATTATTAAGGCAAAATGGGGGTTTTGTTTAAACATTCGCACTGACTTTTCACGTCGGTTATTCAAATAATGAGAATAAAATTATCGCGACCTTGCACTTTATTATAATTAATAAAATTAATTAATATGTAGAAAATACACAAACTACATTTCACGTTTCGACTACTCCACACTTTCATCTAGTAATAATTAGTGTGCAATAATTTATAATCATTATTAATTTTTCTTCATCAAATTTTTCTCTCAGGGTAATTGGTCGTCCCAAGATACTGTCTTGTCTCTCTTTTTTTTAATTACTGTCTCACGCAATTTCGTTCATGTGTCTTATAAACAATTGGGGCTAGATGGGTTGCATATAGGAACTTGTCGCATAAACTTCTCGGCAATGAACAATTGCATTTCAAACATTATAAAGCAGTTAAAAGTACAAAGTCTCGCCGAAGCTCCACTATATCAAACTGGAAAATACCCCACCTTAGGAGACGTACACCGTTATTTCACCCCGTAAAACTCGTCATTTCTCAACTTGGCCTTAACCGTAATAAAAAGCTCCGGATGTACAGAGTGCACATTAACCTGACTGACATAGAAATCCGTATTGCAGAAAGAAACATAGCGTAGTCTCCGAAAACGCAAACTCTATCATGAAAAAATATATATTTCTGCCAGATATTTATTTAATTGGGAGAAATGTTTACGTGTATAAATATTTATGTGATGTCGTATTGCTCCAGCCGAGGGGAGACGAGGCTGATTGGATTTTGATTGTCATGATTTGACCTGGGGTGGAATCCTCCGATGATTAATTTCCAATGTTTTATTCAATAAATGTCTGAGATTTCTCAAGGATTTCTTCCCTCCTTTAGAGATATAATTACCGGTCTTTTGAGTAAATAAATAAAAAATGAATAAATAAATAAAATAAATAAATAAATAAATCCTAAATAAATTGTTGGCCGCATTGCTGATTGCGATTGTTTATTGCATATTATCATTGTCTCATGACTCTGTTTTTTCCTAAAAATTTATGATATATATTTTTAAAAGTTGGGAAAAACGCAGGAAAATAATCGATCATTAAATTTTGGGAATGATTAAATAATGATAAATAAATAATGGAATCGGTTTGTTTTTTCACGTCAATCCAACCAACAATTTATCGAAAAAATCTAAAAACCAGTAATTTTAACGTAAATCTTACTAATTACGTGGGGGATTCCCCCAAAACTGTGATTAACTGGATCACCTTCGAGAGGGATATAATTGTCGCAATTGGAAACTAATCTAGTCATTAATAATTGAATACTCCCCCCGAGTACTCGTATATCTCGCAAAAATATATTTTTTCACTTAATTATTTCTTCCGTAGCATCACGTAGAGATTGGGAGCACTCAATGATTCTGCCTCAAGTGATCGTTCCTATCCGATATTCAATGACGATCAGTACCTGGTGGTACCTGCACTTGCAATTATTACCAGAGTAATCCACACACGGAGAGAAATTTATTTAAATAACTACATTAACTATTAGTAACTGACATAAAATAGTAAATATTGGAACAAAATTATTTCTCACAAATGAATTGACAAAAAATTATTAATCGCCTGCAATCCCTTGATCACTTAAATTAATTACTTCCTGATAAATATACTTCGGAGAAATTATTTTGGTGGTGGGTTAGACTCTAGGGAAAATTCCCTTAATTATTCATTCGATTTAAATATCGATTTTTCAATATTTTTTTCATAAAAATTCTTCAATAATAATATTATCAGAATATATTAATATATTACATTATTGTTATAATATATCATATCTATAATATATTATAATAATAATTATATTTTATTATTGTTAAAATCTAGTCGGGATCACCTGAAATTTCAATCGAATTCTCGATCGAAAAATGATTGCCCATAAAAATGATGTATACAATTACCTCCCCATAATTATCGACCTATCAATGACGTAGAAATCCGAGATTTATTACTGATTTGCACAAAAAACGAATTTCTCTCCGTGTAGTACTTACTTAATATCGACCATAACAGTAATTAATCTTGTCATATTTAATTTTGTACAAAGCCCGATGGAACTGGGCAGTTGTTATCAGAACGGTGATAAAATATCGGAGGTAGTTGAAAGTGAATTAATTGGATAAAGACGTTTATAACGACTGGCAGAGTTCCAACTAATTTCCACAATCATCAAATGCATCATAACACACCCTGAAAAAAATAACATTTGCGGATGAAGATATTAAAGTTGTAATGTTGAATTAAAGTAATGAATTCTGTAGTGATGTGGTAAAATGCGGTAAGTTAACTGATTCTTCGGTGAGTTTTTCGGAAATATTCTTGAAACAGGGGGAAATTACTGAAATTTTTGGGGTGACGTTTGTCGTAGCTCTCGATTGACTCAACAAAAAGTTTGATAATGATTTTACTGTCTCCTTTAATTTTTAAAATGTTTTTATTATTAAATATTTCGAGGGGATGTTCGTTGTCAAATATCATGACTCAATGATTGCTGATTTCACGCGATTTCAGAATAATTTCAAAAGTTTCTTGTCTTGATTTCATGACTTCATGATTTCAGGACGATTTCAGATGATTTCAGTTCAGAGTCACAGTGATTTCACCACTGATTATCCCCTCGGGTATTTCGAAAAAACCGAGGGGTTATTCTTTGTTAAAAATCATTAGACAATGATTGCTGATTTCATGTGATTTTTTCGGTTGCTCAATTTCAAATAACTTGAACTGATTTCAAAAGTTTTTTCTTCTCATTTCATGATTTCAAATAATTTCGAATGATGTCCGATGATTTCCGGACTTATTTCATATGATCTCAATTCAAAGTGACAGTGATTCCCCGAATAAATAGCCCCTCGAGAATTTCCGAAAACCGAGGGTTTATTTGTTGTTAAATATCATGACACAATGATTGCTGATTTCATATGATTTTTTAGGACAATTGACTTCAGAAGCTTTTCATCCCGATTCCATGATTTCAAATGATTTCAAATGATTTCAAATGATTTCAAATGATTTCAATTGATTTCAAATGATTTCAAATGATTTCAAATGATTTCAAATGATTTCAAATGATTTCAAATGATTTCAAATGATTTCAAATGATTTCAAATGATTTCAGGTGACATCAATGAATTGCCAAGTGATTTCCGATGATTTCACATGATTTGAGGAGTGATTTGATATGATTTAAATTGAGAATGAGAGAGTGATTTCACAAGTGAATAGTCTCTTGGATATTTCGTAAAAACTCAGTGAGGGGGTGAATTAAGTAAGCCCGTTTTACCAATTGACTGGGGAATTGGTTGGATGAGCACGTATCTGTACGCTTCTCTTATTTATGCACAGTTTTACTGGTTTCTGTCGGCTTCGTATGCACACGAAGGGAGGTTCACCCGTTGCCTTCATCGAATTCCAAGATGTTCGCTACGCGGCCCAAGCTATGGCCGCCCTGCAAGGATCCCTTCTCCTCTCCTCCGATCGTGGACCGATAAGAATTGAATATGCTAAGTCTAAAATGGCCGAGGTCGGCTTTAAAAATCTCTGGATCGAAGTACGTTTTCATTTATTTATTTTCAATGACAATCAGATAACACTGATTATCAATATCCAACATGAGCTCCATTATGTGTTACGCCGCACCCACACTGTTACCGGGGTTACCAGATGGCCATTTTTTCCCCCAAAAATCCGATTTAATTTTTTAACAATAGTAGTAATAGTAACAATCGCTCATTGCAATAATATATTGGCAACGCTTTTTTCAAAACGCCAATCATTCGCGGTAGCGACTTCAGTTCAGTCTTTGTCACTGAAAAAAATCGAAATGTTTTTTTAAAAAAATCGCCATCTGGCAACTTTGCCCACATATTCGGAAATATTTACATGGAGAAAATAATTCGCGGATAATTACGAGAGAGTTTCGTTAATGTGGGGCGAAATGTCCTCCTGTCGAATATTAGGGAACTGGTCTGAATTTTTAGTTCAGCTCGACATTTTTTTCTGTCAGAACGAAAAAATAATAATTCAGGAGTCATAATAATGATTCTGTAATTTTTTACGAAATGACAATTCCCTCCATGTTGACGGAACTAATTATTAATTAATTAATAATTATGATGATTTAATGGTAATTTTTCGGGAATTCTTTTCTCCGTGCACTGAGAAAAATTACTTTTGACCAGTAAATTCCCTCACCACAAGTAAATCCACAATTTCGGTGTTTTTTTTTTCGATGCGGCTATCGTGAAGTGAATTTTTCTCTCAATGTTCTCACGTTTGACGAGTAAAACTCGAGATCAATGATTTTAAAGAAGTAATTTTTTTTCTCAGTGCATCATGTCACACTGCTGCTGATTTTTGTTCTCTGTTCTGTGCCACTTTCTTGGAATTTTTATCGTGTCAGTGTTTCATTGAAATTTCATGGGAATTCAAATGCAGGATGAATTCTTGACGCTGAAAATTCCGCGATTTTTCTGAATTCTCCGTGAAACCGGAAACTGATTTTGGAAATAATTTTTCAAAAAAAATTAGGAACCAATTGTCCATGAAATTTCAATTTTTTCTAACATAATAGTCCTGCACTCCACGGCGAGAAATTTGCTAGCGAAATTATCACGAAAACACTAGAATTTTCCTCTTTTACTATCGATCCAATGATTTTAATTTAATTATCGATTGATCGATTGATCAATTGAATTATTGATTGATTGGAAATAGTTCCGGTTTTTTTCCCAATTTTCCAAAAGAAAAGGTCTCTCCACCTTTCAGTCTTTCTCAAATTAATTTATCCCTTTAATCCAAATATTTAAAAAAACTGGAAAATTCTGCTGACCGACATTTCGCTACTGATTTTTTCGAAATAATTCTATCGCTAGCAATGAGAGAAATACTATTTCTCACTAAATACTAGACTTTCAAAATCTTCCGCTAATTTGCTTTACACTAATAAATATCACGAGAAGAAATGATTGTTTTTCTCACTGCAAAGAAATCATGATGGGCTATGAAAAAGTTTATTGCCATTACAAGAAAATTACTGGAGATTTATGTGATAATTTTATATCAATACGAGAAAAAATGGCGTATTGCCCATAAATATCCAGTACCAGTAAAAATTTCCCCTGCTGATACAATACATCTACGTTCCGGTGCTAGCACTAGAATTTTTTCACCGAATTTCTCTCCGTCTCGGTGTTTTTATTTTTTCTGCATGAAGCAAGTTTTTGTGTCACGGAGGGTAAAACATTAAACATTCGTCTATTTCGGTCAAGTTGAGGACCGATTGACGACTGAAATCAGTGCCCAGAGAAATTCAATCGCGAAATTTGATTGAGATGAGAAAAAAAAAAAATCATTGCGGTACATCTCATTGTTTTTATCCTCCTCCGTTGGAAACTTTCGTTTCACGCTTTCACGACGACTTAATTGGGTTGAAGTTTGTCTTGGGTGTTTTATTTTAATTGAATTTCGTTTCTAAATCGTTGACACTTGTTTCCCCCATTATCTATCATTTCATTTCCTCCCGATGATTCCATGCACTCAGATTGTACGACTGGTATTATCGATATTTCTTATCACTCCAATCGGTAGATCGCGAGATGTTGGGGGGTTTTTTCAGTTGTATATTTTTTTTTCCCCTCCCCAATTTTCCTTTTTGATTATCGAGAAAAGGAAATGCGAGTTTACACTTTACACACAGTGTTACATATTAAGTTGTATCTCCACTTACACGTGGAGACTAGATTGTTTGAATTGGACGAGAAATTTTTTGAGTAACTCTGTTCGATTCAAATGACTGGTTTTCTCGTACCTCGTGGATTGAAATATATTTTAAACAAGGGACTGCAGGGTAATATGGACTTTTTTTATTTCAATCCGCGTAATAACATTTTCAAATGTCTGTACTAACAAAAAATTTAGTAAAATATGAGAGACAATATGATCTTCAAATTCAATATTAATTAATATAATTTGTTAGTTCCACAATAATTTTTTAATTGACTCCATTTTTTTTCTTTGTTCGACCATCTAAAAACAGTGTATTTTTAAAAATCCCCAGAAAGTTGAATTAACAATTTTCAAAAAATAATATAAAAGTATGATAATAATACATTAATTTTTATTATTATTAGCGATTTTCTGGGATTATTCAGGTTTTATTTTATTTTTGGAGGATTCCACTTAAAATTTATGAATCAACCAATTGAGATTGAAAAAACAATTTGATTTATCTATTTATGTTTTTTATATTTGTTTAAATATAGAAAAATGTTGAAAATTGAGGCTGGAGTGATTTATAATGTCCGTATTACCCCAGCACCCGTACATTGAGTTCTCCTGGAAAAAAAACTAGTGCATAAGAGGCGTTCTGATAAATAGTCGATGGCATACGAAAGAAAACACGAATAATATTGAATGTGCTTTTGCTATGATTAGTCCAATTGATGAAATATTAATGAATCCTCATTAATTTCAGGGATCAAAGGGAGAAAAAAACGGGCAACCTTAAGATCGACATAAATGGAATGTGAAAACGATACCGTGAGGAAGACCGAGCTCCTGGATCGACCAACAAATACAAATGTGTAATCCACACTTGTCCGAGCGGAGTGCAGTAAAAACTCAACAATTAGAAGCTATTTTTTTTTTCACTTCAAGAAGAAAAACAAAGATAAGGTACGGGAGAAGAGGACGAGACGGAGGAAAGGATTCTGCAGGAGCAATAGGGGCGCTGGTTTCGGTGAATTTTCAATAAAACCATATTAGGGTGAAAAAGATAAAACAGAAATCCACAGGGAAGAAAGTCTCTGGCGACAAAATTATTAGGTAAAATTTACGTTGAGATAAAATTATTGAAAGTATTTACAAAGCGCGATTTAACTAGAAAAATTGTTGAACTTTCTTTTTCGTAGCCTTAAGGGGAGGGACGACGACTTTTGCCGTCTCTTTATCCATTTTCCAGTGATTAATGTTGAATTTCAATGGATGTTGGCTTTATTTGTCTTATTTATTCAATTATTGGGGGAGGGAGGATGATTTTGTGAGAGGAGTGCAGCATTATTATTCGCCTTGATGAATTTCAATGGAGATTTTCCGGAAGATACGTAGAAATTCTATCTGCTATTAAGAATAATCGAGGGGTGGGAGGGAAGAGTTATCTGCTTTATATAAATCCGTCAACGCTCACCGCTGTCTCCCGGATGTACATAAAACGAAAGATAAACCAAAAAAGGAAAAAAAAAATAAAAGAAAGAGAAGAGATAGAAATTGAAAAACAGTCGTTGACGCCCGAAAGGATCCAACCACAATTTTCTGTTCCCTGTGCAATTGAAGTTATCGGGATAATCGTACGTGTATGATTAATAAAAATTCTAGTTTCTACCGTCATATAGTCGTGGAAACAACAATGAATAATTATCACTATTCAAATTGCATACACGAACATCAAGCTTAATACCAAAGGTGCCCTAAGAAACGTGTATTTATGTTTTTAATCATCACTATCACGTTTTAACGTCGTGATTTAACTTGTTAAAATGAATAAAATAAAATTAGTGATGGGAGGATAATGAGAGCGCGATTTTTTGAGTGAACAAATAATCTATAAAGAAAAGAGAAGTTAACTGAGTGAGAGGTGAAATTAAAGAGAAGTAGCGAGTGAAATTAATTGTCATTAGACAATGAATGAGAGTAATGCATTGTAACATTATTTAACGAATGTGAACATATCATAGGTTTAAGGCGAGGATTATTTGTGAGGATCGAGTGGATTCGAGATATTTCGATTAAAATTCAGTAGGTGGGGGATTCAAAGTGTGAAATCTTTTAGTGGAAATTGAAGAAATATAATGGAAATCATGGAAATAGTGGAAATAATCGGAATAATTGAACGTGTGGAGTGTGGAATTGGGGAAAAGTGAAAATTGTAACTTATTACTTTCTGTGTATTTGTAATGAGGGAGAGGTGTGCCCCGTGTACTAGAATGACGGCCAACTCGGCACGTAATTTGCCCAAGTGCCTTCCCGTTGGTCGAGTCATGCTAACTGTACCGTAAGTCACGTCCCGTGTAACTGTCAAATACCGTCACACACCGGATAAATCCCCGACCCTATTTTTACCAACTCTTCATTCCCACCTGACGGATAAATCCCATCAGTTTTGTTGATAAATACTATTCTTCACCCACCACAACCTACCCTACACCCCCTCAACCTGTCCTGCATCTTTCACCATTTAATATTCTGCGTTGTAACTTTTCGCTGTTGGAAATTATTTGAAATTCGGGGGACATGCATGGAGAAAAGAAGATTCTTTTTTTTAGAGTCATTCTCGCGGAAATAGTCTATTTTATTTTGGGAGATGCTCGAAGAAAGTTTATGAAGATTGATTGTAGCTGTGTGAAAACAGATCATGACTGCGCGAAAAATTTATCGGCAATTTGCTCCCCAGGTGTTTGAGATGTTTAAGACAACTCGGGGATTCTTATTATTAAAAATAATGTCTACTGTTAAGTTGATTTATCGGTTGAATCACATTTTTTCTCTGCGATGTGAAAATTTTTTAGCAGCTATTAAACTAAAAAAATAATTTCTATTCAGCAGTCGTTCCCCGAAATTTGAATATTAATTTACAAACAGTGTTGCTTCTTTAATAGGCGAGTAAAAATCGTGTTCGTCCCCTGGAGATTCCACTAAAGGAAAATAATCTCGCGACGAACACCCGCCACTAGTTGATTGGGCATTTATAAATAAGTGAACAAATAGCCGGAAAAACTCACTGAAAATTTTGCGTACGAGACAGGATCGGTGGAAGCATTGGAGTGAGTGAGAATTTCAAGTTTTCTAGGGAATGGGATACTTAAGAGTAGGACGAATACGAAAGAATCTAATGAGTAATAAGGGGATGGGGCGGGGGGGTAACAAGGGGGTAGATAAAAATAATACTTAAATGGTAATGGTAGAGTAGAGGGTTAAAAGTTCAGACATCGTGATTCATCGACATCAGCGGTTTTAACATTAATGAGGAATAAATAATAGTTTATAGCGCTATTCTCGTGCAGACACACGCGCCGACCACATTACGATAGTAAAAACAATTCTCAAGGTATATATTGTACTTGTGTTATTACGGTATATCGATGATTGAGGAACGAGTGATTATTCAACGATGATGTGACTCATGTTTTATCTGAAAAACCACTGCTCCTTATTTTTCTACATTTCTGGACCAAATTATCCGTGAGTCATTCTGTTGGAGTATTTCAAGTGCTGAATACCGTCCTCGTTACTTTATTTTCAATAAAATTATTCGTTACTTTGCGTACGAAATTGCTGTCTCGATAAAATTTACACGTTTCTCGTGGAGGTATTTTAATTACTCGGTATCGATGAAACTTGGTGGATTCATTAGCTGTAGTATGCTATTCATTCCGTGATAATAATACATATCAAGTCCATAAACTCTAAAGTAACGTGAGGAAAATAAAAGTTTTAATGAAGAACATATCAATTAATATACCTATGTACTCGTAAAGAAAGTAATTTTTTGATTATTCGACACTTTTATATGCTACTTAAGCAGGAATAAATTCCCTTTCAAATCATTTCGTTTCTCAGGGAGAGCTCTTTGTTAATGTGAAGCTATTGACACCTCGTGAATCTCATCTTTCAGTCACTATTTCAGTGAGGAAATTAAATCCTTCGAATCGATTAAGATGTTCATTGGATGGACTCCAAAATATACAGTCCTTGCATTTTATTATTATTTAATAATAATGAGAATGATAAAAATTAAAATCTTCCTGCGTTTTTTATAAACTGGTCAAAATTTTATAAATTTTTCGAAAGTTATTGCCGTTCATGAAACTTCTTGAGTCATGAAATAATGATGAAATACAGGAACGGTACATTTTTCGGGTCAATCTAATCAATAATTTATTTAAAAAACTCAAAAAACGGTCACTTTCGCTAAAAGTGAGCAGAACATTTTTAAATGTCTGACCCCTTGGTCGTTTTCGAGGAATATCTTCCCACCTGAGGGCGATAACGAAATTTTCATAATTAACTCTTTTGCGGAGCACATTGAGAGCTACAAAAAATGAATCAATGAAAATTTTGGTGTTTGCAATACATCGCGAGATATTTTTAAAAATCGACCAATTGTGAAGACCCAGTGAAGCTCTTTAGCTCTGCTACTGATTTCATTTATCCACGGGAGGATATTTTTTCCCTGGAATGAAGACTAATCTCCTTGCTTCAGGAATAATTATTTTCCTCTGTGTTCACGACGGACAAAGAAACTGGGGGACAAAGAATTTACCGTTGCGGCAATTAGACATTTTCACCGGCTGACAGAATAGAGACAATGAATCTCGACAAGAATTTCTCAATCATAAAAATTCTTGAGGGGCAACCAAGAGAAAATAAAAACGGGGGAAAGTGTTGAAACGATTGAAAGTAAAGTAAAATGCGTGGGGCCTTAAACGAATAATTGTGAAATATACAAAAAAAAAAGGAAGAAGATTCACTGAGGATAAAAATCGGGAGAATTGGAGGATGTAATTTTTCATATGCGATATTACGATGTATTTTGAGAAATATCTCGAGACGGAGCTCTGCTCCGGAGGATTTATAGTTCTCCTCAAGAGTTGAAGAATCTTTGCGGTGTAAAAACTACTTGTGCTTACCTCTAATTTCACGCCGCGACAAACTCGCTCTAATTTGCCAGCTTTCTTCTTGTTGTTATTTACTCCTCACTCTTTTTATATTATTTTTTCTTTCTCTCATTTTGTTTTTTCACTCCCACCTCCCTACCCCTACCAGCTCTTTTGCCTATTCTCAATGGGAATATCCCAGAGAAAATAATTCCCTCCTGCGAGAAATTTTCCCTCTCAGAATGAATTAGCGATTAGTCTAGCGCTGAAACGATGTATAATTATTCTGTTGATTTATAGTTTTAGCTGATGGATAATCTGAGATATTCAGGAAATAGGGCAAACCAATAAGAGAGGATTTAGATCGATATGTATTAATTGTATTTCGTTATTATAATTTAGTCATTGAAACAATTAGGGAAATTGTACTGCGTAAGAGAAGAACTGAAATCATTCGATCGATTATTACAAATTAATGGAAGAGGGAAATGAAAAAAATCATAGATTGGACTTAAAAAGTGCTTTACAAGTGAAACTAATTCATATCACTAGATAGTAAATATACATACAGTATATTACATATTGATTAATTAATTATTGCTAAACGTAAACGTAAAATAGTGTGAGCATTTTCGCGTATAAGAATTTAATAATGTAGACGATGAAAAAAAAAAAATAATAATTACTATACATTTACGAATTAATAAAAAAAAAGATCAGCGTGGTGGATGCAAAGAATTGCAAGGAGTTGCGATCTATTTCCGAGTGAACAACCAATGAAACCGTCGTAATGCGTACAAATAATTGATTATAGTGGGATTTATGGTGGAAAATAGGGATCGAACGATTTAATTTATTTAAATTCAATGATACTGTGGTGACGAATGCCGGTGTTACACGTCAATCAGATATTTTGTACCGCTAGTGTAATTATTTACTCATATCGTTGTGGTACTCTTTCTCAAGTTCAATGACGGATGAGGAGTGAGTAATTATTTTGAGGGAAGGACTTGGGGCTATTGAGGTAGTGTTTTGAGGTTTTATTTTTTCACCACCGATAGTTCATTCGACTATGAGAATAAAGCCAGCATAAATCAGTCTCGGTATGAAAAGATAGAAAAGATAGAGAAGATAGAATTCAAAAGATGACCTCAAAAAATCCCAGGACTCTTCCCTCGACTAAAAAATCATGTCCAGAAGCCAAGACGCTGGGAGAGAGAGATTTCTCGCTTTTTATGGGTTCCACTCGCATTGTCACTGTAATGGTGGAACAGTACATAGACGAGTGTGTACAAAAGGGCAAAGACCTTAGTCATCTTGAACCGCCCGAGCGAGAAGTTGAAATCTCGCTTTTTCAGTGTTGCGCGCTGTGTGAATTTCTGTGCTCTCAGGGAAAAACGATTTTTGGCAAAAAATAATTGGCGAGCTACCGTGGGATATTCATTTGTCAATTTTATAAGTCATTATTATGATTATTAGTATAAATTAATGTCCTGGTTAATTATTTATGGAGCGATGTGGTAATGGGAATGACTTCATTTGTCTGTTCGGTGAATTTTTGAAAATATCTCTGAAACGGAGAGAGATAGTGGAATTTTTGATAAAATTTTTTTTGTAGAGAAACTTGAGACCTGCAGAAAAGGTTTTATCAAAAATGTCGGTATTTCTATTCGTTTTAACAATATTTCAAATCGAGTGTTCGTTCGCGATGAGTGAGAGGAAAAAAAATTTTCAGTTGAAAAATTTTCAATTTTTTTCAACACAAAATTATTTATATAGACTTGTATTTTTTTAGGGCTTTGATTTTATAGTGTTTTGCACAAACACCGAAATACTCATCGTAAAAATATTTATCGTGGAATAAAAATCAGAATTTTTCAGTTGAAGATGAGTAATCAGATCATGAAAATATTCACAATCGATTGAATTCTGGATAGAACGCAATTTACCGGAATCGATGAAAAGATTTATGTTGACACTTGAAAATTCTTTGAGAAGACTTGCCTTCCTGTCAAAATCCTCTTTATTGTCAGTGACATAACAAAATCAATCGTCAGAAGATTCGACAATTCTACAAATTGACAAGAGAATATTCTCCTCCATCACTCCATCTTCTTTGTCAAACGTCTTTTTTCCTCCCAGCGTGAGAATATTTATAACGAGAACTAAAAAAGCCGAATGAAAAGACATTCGAATAACAAAAAGAGCTTATAACGGTAAACATTTGTGTATTATCAATAATTTTCGTTAATCGAAAAGATATTAAAGAGTATTTAAGTATTTACTGAACTTCTATTTGCAATCACTCAATTCAATTATTTTTCATTTGTAATACTATTATCACCAAAGATTTATTGATGTAACTTACTGTTGTGTCCATCCAAAGACTAAACCACCTAATGATTTTATCTTACCCCATTGCCCTTTTTTTGCCATTTTTTTCATTTGGAAAATGGTGCAGTATATAAACGAAAAAGCTGTTTACTCCACTGAAGTAACGCGTCTGATAAATTGGTTTTTCATTAATTAAAACCAACAGAGCACCACCGACTCGCCGGAATATCTGTTAAATATTTATTCCGACGGTAAAATAACGGATAATCAACTCATCATGCAAAATTGATGTAATCATAATGGAGAGAAGATTTTTTCTATTCACAGATGTTGAGATGAATAATCCACGGATTCACGTGAGGATTGATTATCGGAGAAACAGCGATAACTCATTAAGATGAAAACAATTAGCGCAATTATCAGAGGTACTCGTGGATAATTATCCTTATGACGACTACACGCGTGTCTCAGAGATGTTCTGGGGATTGCGTTGGGGTAATTAATCCCCCACAATCTGAAAGTATTAGAATCTCATGTACAATTAATGTAAAAGGGAATATTGTTGGAAAATATCGTGCAGACGAGGTCAGACGATTACCTGGGCAATCGTGTGCATAGGATCGAGATAGTCTCCGTGCGGTATTGAGGCCGCAATTTTTTACCCGTTAAAAGCATTCGGGCTTTAAATAAAAAAATATATATCCTATTCCATCGAAACACGCAATTGTCAATAGCATAGCATAAATTTCATTCGGCTAGGAACATTTACGGATGTTTTGTAATCTGAGTGGTATGACGACATGAAAATGTAACAATAATACTTGAGACGTAACATCGAATTTGTTTATGTACTCGACGAAATTAATGGGTTCAGTAGTAAAGTAGGATAAGTCAGCATGAGATTTTATTTTATTTCTCATCGATCTGCGGTGAAAACACCGGGAACTTATTTTATCATTCATCAAATTTACGATAAACAAGGCCTTTCGGTGTTTTTATCTTTAATCAACAGTTTTATAACGGTAAATCGATTATTAATAATAATCTAGATTCGTTAAATCGACTTATCAGACTTTACCGCTTTGCTATCGAATTGTTTTTGGATAATTTTCAGCTGCTCGAGGGGCTCCAGTGCTCGATGCTAGGTAATGAAAAAAAAAACGATAGGGGAATTAAATAAAACTAAACAATAAAAAATAGTACAGCTTTTTGTGTGAGGTTATTGTGATATTTAAAGAATAACTTTGCGAAGTAGTGATCGTCAGGAGCAATACTCTGATAAACTATTTACTGAGGGAATAAAATGAGTGAAGGGTGTAACAAATTCATGAAAATAATGGGGAAGAAAAAAAAAATGGCAAAAAACTGAAAGCGCTTCAGCGAATGAAAAAAAAAATAACATAAGTAATAAGTTTAATAGGTAAAAACTCAGTAGTGGCGGGGCTTGAGTGACTATTGCGACAATCTGAGGCTTCGTCAAATACTGCCGGATGCATTTGGCACTTCGATAGTCGATTTCTCATTAACTAATGAAAATAGCTGTCCCGATAAAACGAAAAAAAAGAAAGAAGAGAAAAAACTCAAACTGTTTTCAATTGATATTTGTAAAATCACGGACTCCGACCATCGGAGTACCATCGGCATCTAGTTTTAATCCGTCCATAAATGTGTCTCGATTTCGAAAGATAAATGACGAGAGAAATTATAAAAGAAAAAATCGAGATGCAACAACATTTTGCACAAAGTCGTGCATATTAATCATTGGGACTACAAAAAACATATCATATGTAATTATATCTATGAAGAGAAAATGGGGAAAAACAATGAGAAAAAAAAAATATTAATCAATAAGATTTATTTATATGCCCGTGTAAGTAAACTAGTAGCGATATAATAGGAGGAGATATAAAAAGGATACAGTGGAAGGGAAAAAATAAACAGCAACAACCATGCATATCATTCGTGTGTCTGGGCAAGGAATAGTTCTATTGAATATATACATAATTCGACGTTGTCAGGCGTTAATGTTAACACTTAATTATTATTATATTATTATATGATTATAAATATGATTTGGAAATGATAAAGAGTCTGTGTCAATTCTTTTGTGAAGATCCAACAAATATCCTTATATCTTCATTTATTCAGTGATTTATTCTCCTTGTTACTCTTACACTCCCTACATTATTTAGAAAATACTTATTTATTTATTGAGTGAACACCAGAGGGAATATCTACTTCGAGATGAAAACTCATTTTATAAAGATGATTTAAAATTATTCCTTTGTGTATTGGAATCGTGAACGCTTCAATAAATAATTTCCATCTCACATTTACGGAAAAAACAAGAGAATTTTTAAATGTGACTGTCTTTTTTCAATTCATCTAGACTGCATTAAATTTAAAATTGAATGAAATTGAATGCATTGAATAAATTTTCTGGTTTCAAAATTAAAAAAACGATGGAAAACTCACAAGAGAATATTTTATTCTATCCGATAAATTGTTTTTATAAAAAGTAGATTTTATCTCTCAGTGCAGTGAAATTATGAATATTTAGTAATAATTTAATTTTCGAGTCGGATCATCTGGTGTTAGGACATGGCTCTCGCATGTAAATCTTGAAGTCCTTGTGAGAAGAGCTCAAATGATCCTCGAGCCTTAGTTTAGTCTCCTCGAGGACCTGCAGCATGGATTCTCTGCAGGGGGTGTTGAGGGCCTCGTTGAATTTGTCTAAAATGGCCATGTCTATTTCGGGTACTCTTTCCAATTCGATAGCAGTGTCGAATGCTTCACTCACGTCGTTGGTCAGCATTTTCAGATTCGGGGTTGCCGTGGACAATCTGCAGAGTAAAATAATTCAGTGATCAATACAAATGAAAATTTTTGATCCAGCGATCTGCACTGAGAAAAATTACTTCCGCTCAATAAATTCAATTGCTTTCAATGAATGGAAAACCTAATGCATTCCTTAATGATTAGCTTAACGATTAACTTAATGAATAGCTTAATGAATAAAGGAATAAATTAGTTAATTTATTTCGTAATTTGTTTAAGGGATGAAAGGAAGAAATATTCGAACTTACACGTAATCTCGCTCGTTTTCGATATATTTGCAGCATTGCTCGTGAAAATCTAAACATTTGAGGTCGTCCTGGCGTTTTCCCTTTCGCAGGAACTCTCGGAAAATTTTCCTCCCCTGGTGACGACCCAAAGTGCTGTGAACAGTGTCTGTCAGGATGTCAAGCTCATCAAGAGTCAGACCTGACGTGCATTTCCCAATGCACCCGATTATTCCCCTGGCAGTTGCTGTCTTCATTCTAGATATGCCATTGTTACATACAATTTTATTTTTTTTTTTAATAAAATATCTCGTTTAAAATAAACGATCTGTTATCGAAAAATTCTATCGCTTTGCACTGATAAAAATATTCTATTATTACTTTAATACGAAATGATTGATTGTTTCTCATGAGGAGGTCAAGGAATAATTACCAATTTACTGTATTGAAAATAAATATCGTACGATTTTTTATAAATTTCAGTTAAATAATTCTGGAAACTAATATCAGGATAAAATTTTCGAGACATCGTAAAAACTAATAATTTATAATAAAAACTTCAAAGCACTTGACTAATGAAATTTCCTCCAAGGTGGGACTTTTCATACTCTCACCTGAGTAATTTTTCTGAACAATCAATATTTACCGATGTAGATAATTCGACTAATTAACGAGCACTTGACTGATGAAAATCTGTTTTTTTTCATGAGTCGTGGGAGCTGAAGAAATTCCAAAAAATTGGGAATGAAAAAATTCCACAAAATTGAGAATATATATTCACCTTCCACAAATAATCCTCCAGGTTATTTCATCCTCAATTATCGAGGCGCGTCCTGTTAACTGTCTTGGCAACTGAAGGACGAGGAAAATACAAAGTGAGTCACATGTTTATTGATCGGGAACAGATGTTTCTTTTCGTTGCACCAAAACACGTGTGCAGGTACAGACGAGTAATTTGGAGTATTGCGATGTAAATGTGTCAGAAAGAAATCTAGATGTCTTCTGATGGTATTCACTGATATTCCAACGTCGATGGTCCTCTGAATATTATAAATAGATTTTCAGCTGCGCCGGCGCTCGCGCCTCAGCAAAAAATTATTTTAAGGACTTTATGCGCCCTTTCCCCCACAGTCAACGATCTTTTCATTTTTCCAGTAAACTTACGGTGGAATTGACGTAAAAATTATGCACTTTTTCATTTTATCATTTTTTAATCACTCATGAAATTTTTGTGTTGCAAACAATTTTCTGTTTTTTTTTTTTTTCAATAAAAACAATCACATACTGTAGAAAAAACGCAGGAATTTAGACTAAAGGAATAATGAACATCTTTAATTAACAATAAGATAATCAACACTTCAAATATAATAATTTGCACTTGTCGCAAGTCCATTTACTTGGCTGAATTTATTTTTTTTTCTCCATGTTCTCCAGTCGAATTGATCTCTCGAATTTTCCACGTTAAACTATTAACAGTTCGAAATCACGAATATGGTGTATTATCTTTAGAATCCCGGGGACTCAATGGAAATAATATTGCGGTGTTATTCGTATGAATGCAGTACCATTACTGTGAGTTTTTTTTTTAACTCACGCGATATCGCGAAATGTCGAGGTCAAACCACAACTGTTTCGCCGAATGATTAGCGCGTTGGTTATCACTGATAACCAAAATGCATTCGGTGCACCGAATTCAGAATGATTTTCGCAGCGATAAATCACTAGAGAATTGAAAACAATTGATTTTTTACAATTCAGGGATTTACTAAAAAAAATTTCCCGAAAATTTCAATGATCACATGTTCATAGCAATTACAAACTAGAAACGTTCGAATTCTCTTGCTTTATCATTTTGTTGTTGTTGTGGAAAAAGGTCTTGATAAAATGAGGAAGTGAGAATACTTGGGATTTATTAAAATTTTATTTTTGTATTCACAGAACAAAATTACATCCTCTCGCTTGATTTCTTTACTTCTTTCACCTGAAGACCTGGAAAATAGAAAAGGGGGAGTTAATTTCCCGAGAGTTCATTAAACGTGTATTTCAATTAATGGATTAATTACCTGGGGGAAGGGATTGTTTGAGCTTCTCTGCCTTCTCCTTGTCGGTGATGACGAGGGTGTACAAAAATCTGGAGCAACGCACCTTGAACTTGACATTATCTGCATTCTTCTTTATCTTAACAGCTGAAAAGAGAAAAATCGCATGATCCAACTGTCTAACAAGTTCCTGAGAGGATGATTCTCAAATAATCAATCCACGAACTTACATTTGGCGTCTTTCCTCCTGGCTTTCAGCAGGAAGTCTTTGATCTCCTTGATTTCACGGGGCTATAACAAAAAACAATATCGAAAATTAATTTCAATCATCACCCATCAAGAACGACCAAAAAATGGATTAATTTGAGGTTATAATCGACCTGAAGCAATTGAACAATTTGTTACTTTAAAAAATTCCTCCAATCATCTCGTGATGATACACAAATTAAAGACAATTTTCTCTCATTGAACAATCAATTTCAGAATATTATTAACAACAAAGCTTACCATTGTTGTCTGTGTTTTGTGGTTGCAAACTGGTAGCACCTGAAAATAAAAACCAAAATCAGTTGTACACAGATTAAAAAACTTCAACCACTAGAGTATGAATGGAGCACAAATAAATATAAATAATCGATTGTTGCGAGAATAAATCCAAGGATTGCCCTAATAATTATGGATAATAATTACGAATAATCACGAAAAGTTTCACGCACCCGTTCGCTTGTTGTTAAAAGAGGGAGAACAGGGAAGGCGCCCTCTTTCTCGATGAAAAAAAACATCCCAATTTTATCGTCAGATGTCCCTGAAGTTTAATTCCACTCTTATCACCCCTCAACCCCATCCCGTGTGTCAAAAAGTGACGAAGGAATAAAAACAGGGCAGAAGGCAGTGTTCACTGCTGTCAATGAATCTGAAACCAATTCTCGAATTTCCGAGAGAAATTATCAAGTCCTCGAGAAAAAACCGGATCCACGTCTGCAATGAACACGTAGTAAGTACAATCTATACATTTGAAATTAATGAACTCAATAAATTACCCTCGTAATTTATTAATGCAAAGCTTATCACAAAGGCTGTTGATAGATCGTACCGGAAATGTCATTCGTTTTCTGTCCTCGAGTTAATACTTACGGCCTCAAACTACAATTCCTAAAAATTTCAATGAATTCATTTTAATATCGAATTCTTCGAGTTTTCGGCGTCTTCTGGACGCACTAGACGATAAAAGGAATCCCTCGTTTTCTTTTTTACAGACAGATCTTACAAATCCAAAGTTTCTCCCTAATAATACATCAATTCTCTAATTTAATTTACTGCGATATTCCAAAACCTGTGGATTTTCACAAGTGTAACAATCGAGGGGTAAAAGACTTGAAAATAGAATAAACTAAATCGAAATTGAATTTAATTGATTTGTTTAAAAAAAATTGCGGAATTTTCTCATTAATATGGGCATTGGCATATGAATTATTAAAGTGGGGGAAAGAGGATTAAAATATCGATAGACTATGCATGTGGATAAATAAAAAAATATAAACATGTAAAAAATGCGTAATTCAAGTGACAGAGGCGGTCCAGGTCTCTCAGGAAATGCATTCGATCGATGGGTGCAGCGTTCAGACCTGACGGAGGATTCAACAATTTCGAAAATGCAGCACCAGTACTGGTTGACTAAGCAAACCCTCTCCCGAAAGCTTGGGAAAAAAGAGGATGAGTGTATCGTCGCCTCGGATGCCGAACTGGACGCCAAGCTGGAGCTCTTCCGTAGTATCCAGGAGTCGTGCTCCTACCTCCAACGAGTGATCGACAAATATCAAGAGAGACTATGCAATCTTGCCCAGGAGGAGAATGCGATGGGTCGTTTTCTGAAGGAGGCAGGCAAGCAGGACAAGACACGTGCTGGAAAGATGATGTCAGCTGTGGGAAAATCATTGTCGTACTCTGGGCAGCAGCGATTAGCCCTCAGGGCGCCACTGGTGAGACTTTACCAGGAAGTCGAGACATTCCGACAACGCGCCATCGAGGACACCCTCCAGAATGTCCAGTGCATGGAGAAGGCACGCACTGAGTATCGAGCTGCGTTGTCTTGGATGAAGAACATCTCCCAGGAACTCGATCCTGATACCTCCAAGCAGCTCGAACGATTCAGGAAGGTTCAGGTTAGTGATGGGATAAAATTTTTTTGATTTATCTGTTAAGGGTATTTAAATGCTTTTATCAATGATGTAGGTGAGGGTGCGCAGGGGCAAGGCCGCCTTTGATAATCAGGCACTGGACTGTCTCCAGAAGGTCGATCTCCTCGCTGCTGCCAGGTGCAACATGTTCAGCCATGCACTTGTTCTTTATCAGAGCACTCTCTTGAATTTCACCAGGAAGTCCGCCCAGGCATACGCCACCATTGCCAACAGCTTCAAGGGCTACCAGAGGTACGACTTCATGGTGGTTAAGGAGCTCGCTGAGCCGTCCACTAAATTGGCTCAAGAAACTGGTGGGGATCGGGATGATAACAAGGAGAAATTACTGTTCTTCGAGGAGTTTCAGGACAGCGTCGAGGAGGCACAGGAGGCCAAGCCCTCTGTGGAGGCTGTAGAGGAGAAAAATCATGAGGATAAACTTCTCGATTTCGACAATGAAGGAAAAGAGCGCCCACTCGAGACCCTCCAGTTGGGACAGAACGAACCTCGGGATCAATTGCTCGAACAGGTTTTTGGAAATGTCAGTTGATTATTTAATGCCGCTCTTATTCATTGGTGATGTTAATTTTTCAGTGACATTTAAAATCTTAAAAATTTGAAACTTCAGAGAAATTAATTAATGCAGTTTAATTCCATTGGAGACGATTAATCAGACTCCGGTGATATTTCCTCGGAGAAAATGCGGATTTTATCATAAAGAAATCTCTTTCGTTTTTAAATTAAAAATTCTCAACAAAATCTCGAGAAAATCTGAAATTGAATTCTTTATTAACATTATTATTTATTCAATTTTTATATTATTCGATTGAGTATTTTTCTTGTTCCTCAGGAGAGTGATAGTCGCCCACTGGACGTTAAACACACGAGTGAACTCGAGAAGAGTCTTGCAGAGTTAGATCTGGTGATGGACTCGTTCGTTGGTGGCCCCTCGAGCTTTGATTTCTCGGATAAGACGACCTCTTTGGGCTCGTCGAACCAGCAGGAGTGTCAGGAATCTCTTCAGTTGTTGACCTCCGAAAATTTTCAACTGCTGGATGATATCTTGAATAGTGGACCGACAGCTAATACCGATTGGGACGCCATGGCGAACGACACATTTTTGCCACCGGGGATTCTGAAGCAGAGCCTGGGGGATGCCGCACTTGGGAAAACGAGTAAACCGATGGTTAACGAGAAGGTAAAAAATTATATCGATTGATATTCATTTTCATTGATTAAAATCACGGATTGTTATGACGAATCCACTGATTGATTGGCAATTAAGGGCAACTTGCACTCTTTAATGAATTTTACATGTGAGAACATATGTTTTTATAGAAAAAAAAATAATTGTAATTATTTCAATGGATAATGAGACATTAATATTCTCTATGAAAATTCAAGAAGAGACTGACGTTGTCGGTTTGTTGCATGCACCGGATAAAGTTTAAACTCTAATAATTTTTTCAGCAAAAAAAGGGAAAACCGAAAGGAAATTCCTGGCTGGACTTGTTCGCCGAGTTGGATCCCCTCGCGAATAATCCAATCGAGAGTCTATCCAAATCGAGTGACAGAAACGCTCCCGCCTAAATTCCATCACTTGTCAACATTCCAGACTTTCCTTAATGATTTCAACATTCCAACAGCATTTTCCAAGGTCATTGATTCAATGTTTCTACCAAAGATTTTTAAGAATTTAAAAAAACCAAGTATATGAATTTTCATGTCGTGATTCTACTAGTCATTCATCTCTCCACTGTTTGTCAAAAATTGAGGATTCTAATCTCGTATTTAATAAGTTTCTCCTGGGATAATGACTGTATTGCTTTCTTATCAGTTAAGTATCGAACGGTGAAATTTACTATACACAAAATCATAATAAAAATTGGAAAACAAATAATATAATATATCGAGATGGTGCAATGTTACTGATTAAAAAAGAATTTGTACAGTATGGTTTGAAAATCATTCACAAAATCACTTAACTCGCTGCTGCAAAGCTCAACAGCTAAACGCAAATAAATTAAGGGGATGAGGGGGGACTAGGGGCATCTGAGACACTCGGCTCAGCCAATTCTCTTTTCCAACTTGATTAATTTATCCTTCTCTTCCATGATGAGCCTGCAGAATCTCCTTGAGGAATCACAGAATATTACATCGTGGTTGAGTCAGTGGATTATGATGGAAGCTAAAAAAATAGGCGTTTCGTAATCCAGAGTTTTATGGATCTAGAAACTGGGCCAGCGCGATTTTCACCCTAGAAATAAAATCACCAGAGTCAAGTCTTGTCGGTTTCAACCCCAAACTTCCAGCGATAAAAAAAAATGAATTAATTAATATATCAAATTTCAATGAATGTTCTCTCTTAAATGAGAGCAATAAAAATAATTTAATATGTTTGTGAATAAAAATTACCTGTCGAACAGCTGTGGATCTTTGTTCAACCGCAATTGTTGAAGAATTCTATAAAACCCCAGCTCTCGTAGACGAGCTTGACGCTGCTCGGCACCAGGTTCCTCTCTCCACACCAGATTACACACACAAAAGATGGCAGCAATATTCAATTTAACATTAGTATGCATCTGAAAACAAAAATCCCACAATTACCAAATACCTAGACACCTGGAAAAATTATTCTAAGAGCTCCAGGGTCAAAATTTTCAAAGATAAATCTACATGAAATTCATCCCCCTTTATTACCCCTTTCGAAAAATATATCTGAAAAATATATAATTGCGTCAATCTCTTACAGATATATTTTTTTTTTGAAAATATATTTCTCTCCGTGTGGCTACAATTGTTGAATATTTCAACCAATTGCCCGATTAATTTTAATTATGCAATCTAAATTTATTGAAAATAGTGAAAATTTAGGCAAATATATGCTTGACTTCTCCACCTATTGGAAAAAAAAATTCATTTCGCTAATAGATAAGTTTTAATATTTCTGAATCTGATCGAAATAGCGACATTATAAAATTTTTCAAGATTAAGGAATTCACTAGTGGCAATAACACTATGAACTTCGAGATATTACCATATAATCCATAAGCTTCTTAAGCACATCCTCATTAGCCATGATATGATCCCTCGCCCTGTCGCCATCAGCGACATTAGCAAGAATGCAGAGAGCCTGTTCTTTGACCTCAGCAGGATGATCATCCTCCAAAACGAGTATGACAGCCTGCATGACCTGAGTAGCGTGTTCGTCCATAATTCGATCAATGTGAGCCTTGGTGCTCAGAAGATTTCTCAGGAGTCCCAATACCTTCATAACAACAGCCAACTCAGAATCCGCAAGGAGGCGAAATATCTGATCAGTCCCCAAGCACGATAAAATTTGGGACTTAACCCTCTGCTCAGCCTGAAAGGCAACATTCATGAGGGCCCATATGCCATTCAGCCTCAAAGCAGGATCAGGGCGTCTAGTCAACGAACAGAGGAGCTCCACTCCACCGGATTCAAGAATAGGTTCTTTACTGGGACTAAACTCTAGAAGAAGATTGCACAGAGTGCTGGAAGCAACAGTCAACAGGTCCTCCTCACCATCCCTCCCCTCTAGCCCCTTATCCGCTCCGTGCAGAAGCTGCATGAGAGGTCTCCAGACAGCGTGATCCTGGAAGGTGGTCCTGAGCTGCTGGACACTCCTAGACAACGAGTGGAGACACCTGACAGCAGCGAGTCTGACTCTCGGTCCTCCAGGATCCTGTAGCCCACTGACGACTAGCTCCATGAGATTTTCAGTCTCGATAATTTTCTTCCTGATGTCCTCATCGTTGGCACCCAGCGATGCAAACGCCCGGAACGCTGCCTGCCTCATATCCTGAGCGAGAGAGGCATCCTGGACCTGAGGATGAGGCCTCAGCAGTTCAGCCAAAGTGGGGATGAGATGATTACTGATGGACGCCAACCTCTGCAGCTCGATATCGACTTCAGTGAGATAGGCTAGGGTCTCAGCAGCTGCTATCCTCTCTCGAGGAGGCCTGTCTCGATGGCAGAGCCTCACTAAACATGGCAGGGCTCGGTAGATGACGATCCTGTCCGTCGATGAGAGGGCACCTGCCCTGTGCATATAAGATATGCATCTGGCAGCCTCCAATTGCACAACAGAACTCCTCTCCCTTCCCATCAGGCAGCCCAGGAGGGCAGGCAGGGGTTTGAGAGTCGGCTCTTTACCCGTCGTCACGTTCGCCACCATCGTTGATACCGTTCTATTCTGGTAGCACATGTTGGCAAGACACGCCAGAGCTGGAAGCTGAACATCAGGAAGAGGAGAGTCAAGTTGAGAGGCCAGAGTCTCCACGGCGCCTCCCTTCATCAGAGAATTCTGCTCGTCTGCTGATTTGCAGGCTGTTGTTAATATCGTCGCGACGCATACTTGACAAGTGACAGATCTACTCGCTAGGGATAATAAACGAGGGACTAGGGCAGTGTCCTGGTAGATCGTTTGCACTGGAGCACTTGAGTGCTGGAAGACTGTGCGAAGACACCTGAGACACGCCTCGATCAAGTGATCTGAGAGCTTGTCGTTGTCGGGAGAAGTTTGCGTTGACAGGAGCACCTGCAGAATCAGGGGAACCACTCCCAGATCGATAAGGGCCAGTACGTGCTGATCTGTTCCTTTTGCAAGGGAGCCCAGGGTCACCACGGATTCCAGGCGGATGCGCTCTCCGACTGTTCCCGATGTGTCTGACAGCAACTGCAGGAGCCGGGGAACCACTCCCTGCGCGATTACCGATCCTTTCTGACGGTTGCTTCCTATTACTGAGTTTTTTAGACAGCTGAAATTATTAGTTTTTCTTTATCAGTGAATTCTTTGGAGGAGAGCTTCACTAATTATGAGAATTAGGGATTTTTTGAATGGAGAGATATTCCATGAAAATTCCTAAAGAGCTTATAAGAAACATTTTTTTAATAATATTTAAAAGAGTATGTTTATTATTGAAATCCATAAATTTTCGTGTTCAAAACACGAAAAAAATGGTTGAGAATTAAAAACCCCCAGGAAGAGCTACTTCAAATCGCTGATTTAATTTCGCTATCTAAAAAGTCGTAATGCAAGAAAAACATTCGAATCACATTTTTGGCGGTTGTTTTTTGACACTGATTTTTAACGACAGCTGAAATAATTATTTTTAGTATTCTAGTGGCTTGAGAGAATTTGAGCTCCATAAGTAATAGAATTTGCTACGAGTTGACAAAAAAAATTGGTTAAAAAAATATATCTTTAACGAAAAAATAATATGCAGATGATTGGAGGCATTTGAATGAAATTTAGGTTAGGATTGAGATTTTGGGAACTCACATTATCGCTTCGAGACACTTCTGGGGATCCGGCGAGTACAATTCGTCAATGTAGCTTCTGGAGCTCTCGACATCCTGAAAAGGACCAAATGCCATGTGTCAGGGATGACACGATAAATGAGTGTCAGTATCGAGCAATGAGGATGATTGACTACCGGCTTCAATATTCGGGATTCCCTTACCATAAACGGTTGCATCACCGAGACCATAATTAATTGCCCTCTCACTCTGACATAAATACCACGATATTTTACACCTATTTAGTCCCCGGTATCTGCTCAGACCGTTACAAGGTGATTTTTAGGTTTAACAAGTCGTCTTCTTGTCACGAGGAAACCCGTCAAACTGAGAGACTCCCCCTCTCACTCACTCCCTTTTCCCTTCTGTTTTTTTTTCGCTTTGCAAATTTTTTTTGAAAGGTTGTCACCAGATTATTACGTAAACCCTCTCTGGGATTTTTCTCCGTTGGGTTGAAGCCAGGGATTTTTGCGATTTTTCTACCGTTGGTACCGGTAAAAAAAAAAGGTTATGTCCGATCAGAGACATGAACCTATTAGTTTATTCCCTTTATTTACACAAGTTGAGACTATCTGATTTAATTATTTCAGAAGACATCTCAGTGTTACTAAGAAAATAAGTGCAATTCGAATTTTCAGATTTTTGATTATTGCAGAGGATTATTTTATCATGATGTCATTATTTAGCAGATTATTCACTCATACCAGATTTATCAGACGTAAGTTCTATCGATTTACTATCTCTTATGATTATTGAATCTTTGAAATAAACAAGGCGAACAATTTTTTAATTCTCAATAGACGTCGTTGCGATTAATAATTTGAGTGGAATTCATACGACGTGTGTCACACGACTGGATCAAGGCTGGCGACGAAAGTGAGTTAACAATCCACTGAATTAATTCTGTCAAATGTTAAATTCAGTTAATTGAGTTAATTTATTAGCTAAGATAATGTGGGGCAAAATGTTCTTATATTTTTTTCGCATTAGTATATTTTTTTCTTTATAATAAGCTCGAATAGAGCTCAAACGATCAATTGATTCCTGAATTACGAATGCTTTTAAAATTAATTGGTGTCCTGACTTGACCCGTCTTTATCCCCGCATCCAAGAGATCTATCGGAATTTTACATAAGACCTTTTTTGGAGAGTCAAAAAAGAGCTATGAAAAAGGTATCGACAAAAAAATCGATATTTCTCTCAGTTTCGGAGATATTCTCCACGAACTTACCTCTCTGCTGCTGAATTATTCAGGATGCGTCTACCAGAAAATCCAAACGCTTTCGGCCCGTTGACAAATCTGCCAGATTATTCCTTCGCAGATGGAAGACCAACGCCTTTCGGAACGAGGATGCTCAACAGAATCAATAAACAACGAGAAATATTGGTAATTCATTGATGAGTTTGAGAATGTGACAGCAATTTTTTCATTCTCCTCCTGTTCTTTAGAAAAGAGTGAGAACCCTCACGAGTGAGGTTGATTACGCAGTCCAGAGGTACGAGAGAATCCAGGGAGAGAAGGCAAAATATAGAAAGAGCATTCTAGAATCAAAACTCAAGCCAAAGGGGACGAAATTAGCGATAGCCATGTCTGAGGTTTCAAAAAAACCACCAAGTTAATTACTCCGCATTACTAAGTTAAACACGTCGATCAATAAACGAATGTTAAGCAAACACTTTTTAAATGATTTAGTGAGTTTTTCTAAATGTCACCTACACCGAAGAGCCCCCGTAGACTCGTGGTGCACATCAGCAGTCGTTTCGCATAGCAGAAAGGAAATTTATCGGTGATTGACGTGAAAATCCTTATGAGACAACTACAAAGTTCCATATCACTATTTAACAATATATAATCCTGTGGCATCATGAGAATGTTGGCAGAATTGAGGGCCAAGTTATTTTTTGCCTCGTGCCAATTTTTAAACGAAGACGGTTAGGCGGGAGATTCTTTTAAACGACCGGGACAATTGCATAATTTCTATTCAATCATTAACTCAAATTTTTCCATTAATTTTTCTTATCGATTTTCAAATTCCACTCTGTATCATTTATTTTACCGTAAATAAAATTATCTACGTTTGTTTTTCTATTTTTAGAGAATCCCACTTGACAGTCTATATAAAATCGAATTAATCGACTACTTGCTAAATAATCAATTTATCGATTTATCGTTATTTAAACATTTGGGAATTTTTTTAATTGAAAAAGGGACGATTTTTAAAGGGTATCGCTAATAATATTTCAATTTGTCAGATTAAAAAAACTGAAATTTCAGTGGGACTTTAATAATAACTAAAGGATTACCTTATATTTGAATAATATTCTATGGATATCTCGACAATTGCCATAATCTCAGGAGAATAATGATATCACTGAATTTCAATCTAAGAATACAATATTTATTTGTATCTGAAGGCAACCCCACCTCCTCTACTATCAGAATGACTGCTCAGTGAATCTCCCTGTTTGACAATAGCATTGACACTCTTCACATACTGCGAGAGATCAGTGCTGGATCCAGGGATCAAGTTCGATATTTCAATCGATAATGACTCATTCAAAGAGTACCTGCCCCTGGGCTCGACAAGAACTCCATCAGACAGTCGATAGTACCTGATAAAATAGTCACGATTCAAGGATTTCTGTTTAAATAATTTTCCTTTACCTCTCACCTTTGAGTTTCGATAGCTGTGGAGAGATTCAGCTTGTTCAGCACCAGATTCGATAGGATTTCAGTGGCGAGTATGGGATCGTCAGCACCGAGGGCTCCAGAGAATTGAACGGGGTCTTTACTCAAGTGGAAGATTATCGGGGTGAGGGCGTGGAGATTATTTCCAGTTGAAATAGTATCCAAGAGAAAGCCAGCTCCCGTCATGTGCCCCAGACCCAGGGGAGCACTCAATCCGCTGTTCAACAGAATTCAACATTTGCAGTTCAATTAATTTCAATAGACAAGAATTAAAGAGTCATTTAATGACAATTTACGTTAAGATTGACACGAAATTCCGGGTCGAATCAACTGCGACGACTGCTGTATATCTCTCTTGTTCAACTAGAAAAGATAAAACATTTTATAATTGATAAGCATAGAATCCTCAGAAGAGTTCACGAGCTCATCTTCTCATTTCACCCAGTTATTGAAATTGTTATTGATATATATCGATATCGAACGACTAACTGTCATGATCCTCGACGTTAGTTGCAACCAGAGCCTTGGCAACAGCGAGTTGACTATCTAAAGAGCCCACCATCTCCTCCTGGATCCTCAGATGCTCCACCCTCTCCACAGCCGAAAAAAACGATTGCGCGTGTTCAGGGGCATAAATCACGTGGCCATAGAATTCCGATGAGTTTCCTTTTCCCTCCAGGGGCTGATAATTCGCCAACTCCGCGAGAAAATCCTCCCGACTCTCGTGGAACTCATCCCGGAGGAACTTAGTGGCTATACTTCCATTGTAAAAACCTCAAAAAAAAAATTTGAGGTCACGGTGGAAAAAATAATTAATCAATCATGAGGAATAGAATTTACTTTGAGAGCCCTGATTTTTAATAGCTTCCAAGGTCTCCCCTAAAAGCGGAAGTTTCAATTTCTCCCCTGGTTCGAGATATTCGAACATCATTCCGTGATCTTTGGCTCGTGAGAGTTCCTCGAAGAAGTCCTCGGTGATGACGAATCCCTCCTTGGCCAGAATTTCAGCTGGCTCAACAATTTTCCTCCAGGGAAAACTACTCTTCAATGTGTGAAGGGACTCCAGTCCTCGGATAACTGCTGGTATCCTGATCTTGGCAGGTGCGAGAACCCCTGACGATGGAAATTGTTGAAACCCAATGATTAATGTTTTTTATATTAAATCTATAACTTCATTAAGGGATGAAAAATTCTAAACCATCAATTTGACATTGGATCCAATAATAATCAACTGATTTTTAATTAATCATTACTACACGAATTTAAGTAAAAACATGTCCACATTACCCTGCACGTTTCTATCAATGAATAAATTATCAATTGAATAGTCTAATTAATTTAATTGCGTTAAACTATTAAACCTGAGATGGTGTTCGTTGCAAAATCGACGACCAACGGCTGAGTGTCTTCCTTCCCAGTGTAAACGATGGCGATTCCACCCCTGGATTATAATTTCATGTATTCATGAAACTAGAAAAATCATGGGAATTAAAAAATGAATTACCCTCCTAAACCGGTCTTATGGGGAGCAACAACTGTCATGCAGAGCATAGCTCCTATGGCAGCATCAACAGCATTCCCTCCATTCTTCAGAATTTCGGTTCCTATCCTCGAGCAATTGGCGTTATCAGCAGCTACTGCCCCATGATCAAAGAAATCCTTAGAAGTCCTGAGCAACGAGTGCAGATAAACCAGGTAAACTATCATCACCAGGCACATGACAGCCAAGCACGTCGTGAAGATTCTTAATCTCCAAACGCAGCTGGAGCCCCTGCATTTGCTGGTTTGATCACCGGTCAGAGGACAATTCTCGGACTGATTATAAACATCGTATTCACTTGGTCCACTCGTCACCTGACACACATCGCAACAGCCTTCCATTTCATTCAATCATCGAGATAATTCTACCCATCGGTCCCTCATTCTGCCCCAACTGTCATAAATAGAAACAAAAGAGGACTCAGAAAATTCAGTAATTATAATTAATTTCAATCACATAATTATTTATTGTGCGTAAAGTTCACAAAAATAACGCAGTCTGTGCGATAATTATTCAACAGTGCGAATACTCTCATCGATAATCACATTTCAATTCTCGCTGCAATAAATCTGTATATGAATTTATTTGTTCATAATTCTCTTCATGCGAAATGAAATTCGTAAGGTGCAGGTAACAATTCAAGACCCAGAGTATTTAAAGTTGGAGTACTCCAGATTCTTTTGTCTAATCTAGTAAGGCCATTCAACAGTCCATTGGGTATGAACCCGAAAATTAGTCTTTTGTATCTCAAAATGTGTCCGTGAAGGAGGAATAGTCCCTCATTGAAAGAATAATTGAATATAAAAATTCAATTCCTTGTACATTATTCGAGATTTCGAATATTCATAGTCCTATAATAAATATTTATTTAGCTAAAGAGCTGAACTGACTGTCAATCTTGTCCGAATGCAGTCTAACAAATTTAAAAGAATAAAAGGCAGTGAAACTAAGACCGAGAGCACTGATAGCAAACAATAGCTGATTATCAGTGTCTCCGATCCTAATATAAAACAAGACTATAACAACAAGAAAATTGCAAGGAAGCCTGAGCCAGTTAACGATACTAGCCCTGAAGCCCTCAGGTGCGACGATCCCCCTGAGGTACCCAATGGCAGGAAAATACACCCCCACCGCAATTTCGAAAAGCAAAAAACCCCCTAAACAGAGGTAGGACCCAAAAAACAGGCCCCCTTCCTTCTCCTGAAGGTGTACTCCCAGGGTGCAAGTCAGAATGCTCGCTAACCCGAGGAGAACGCTCCAACAGAGGAGATTCTCCACAGGAACACGAAAATATTCGCCGAGGAAGGAATGGAGAAAACTCCCAATCCCTATGGAAACCATGAAGAGCCCGAAGACAAAGCCGAAGCTGGGGTTGATGGGCGCAAGCACAGGAGTCCACAGGAACACGAAGACGTACATCACTGTCTCGAAGATTATCTGGACGAGCCCCAGATAGATGAGAGCTCTGTTATCCCTGGAGAGGATGATCTTGAGGGCTTTGAAGAAATCCTGGGACGTGGATTCTGGGGGGATCTTGAGGTTCTCCGTCCAGAGGATGATGCAGAGACAGGCGGAGATCAGGGATATGGGAATGGAGAGGATGAATGGAGTTGCTGGACCGTATTCCAAGGTGTCGACCACCAGAGAAGCGATAAAACCACTGAAGATGGCTGTCAAGCCGTTGAGGAACGTTGATTTGGCGAAGGTCGTGATTATCAGGTCTTTCTCCAGGTGATACCGCGAGAGGTGTTGTCCCACGTACCAGGACTCGAAGGTCGAGCAGAGGATCGATGTGGAGACACCACCGAAGATCCTTCCCAGCACCAGGATCCACCAGTCTTTGGAGATTGTGCAGGAGCATGTGAGGATCGTCGACAGGAAGTAGAGTAGACATATTTTCTTTCTGCCGAAGCTGTCGGCCAAGTGACCGACGAATACACCGAAAAATCCACTACTGGTGAAACCAGTTATGTAGAAAGAACAGATCTCGCGTTTTGTGTAGCTCGAGGAGTAGATCGTGTACAGATAGGGCCCCTGTAACCAGTCCACCAGAGCAGCCAGCAGGTAGATTGTTAAATAATTTCGGCGAAGACGGAGGTAGATCTGGTCCTGAGTTTGTGGGGAAATCATCTTAGGTGGGGGACATGGGGCTAACTGAAATCAGAGGATGCATTTTATTCTGAATTAACGAAGAACAATAATATATATTACTTAATACGAATAATTATTAATTATATTAAGGCATTTATTGTCTTCATTCGTTATAAAAATTATCAATTGAAATGGAAAATGCTTATATCGTGGGAAATCTATTGTTTCACTTACGATTTTATAGTTTTCTTTCATTTGTTTTGTTGCTGGGAATTTTATTAATTCGTTAATTTACCTAGTTAATTATCCATTCAAAGAATTTCATTGAATCGTTTACTTCACTGAAATTTCTTTGACGTAAAAGATCATTTGGAATAACTTCGTTGCGTTCAACTAATACGTTAATTGACTTGACGAATAATTACGAATTGAATGATTGATAAATCGTTAATTGAGTCAATTGCATTTGGTTTATGCCAAGGCACCGCGATTGATTGACTATTCGTTTTGAAATTTTCGTATTGTTTTCAAAGGCAACGCGGTAATGAGTTGGTTTACCTCTCCCCAATGCCGCCTCTCATTCTTATCAACTTCTTAATCATCTCTGATTGTTACGGTGTAGCTTAGCAATATGGTAGGTTAAAAATTCAGACGTGGACGGAAAATAGAAACGAATGAGAGGGATGGAAATAATTCTGCGGTATTTTAGAACGTTTGCCAAAATCGATCGCATGATCAAAAAAATTGTTTTACGAGTGCCCAAATGAACACTTGGAGTCGAGCGATGAGATATTCGAGAAATTTTGATAATAATCAATGAGCGATTTGGGAGTGGATTTTTAAATTTCAGTGAATAGCAATTTTGTAACGCAGAAAATAACATTCACTCGGTCGACTGGTCCCTTTGACAGTGGGACTGCTATGGGGCAGTTACCGAGTTGGTTAACGGGCAGACAACCCCGTTGCATCTGCCACTGGGGTCACTCGAACCCCCAGAACCCAGAACTGAGCCTCTACTGTAGTCAATCCTCTTTGATAGGGACTTTGGATTTTTTATAGTATTCTGAGATGAACTTCAGACATGAGGGGAAAAATAATTTCAGGAATCCGAAATCCCTAGGGACAATATTGTCACAGCGCAGATGTTATGGAGCAGAAAGCGCGAATTACAAAATTTATGGAATTTATGGAAAAAATTTGTAGCTCAGGAATGAATAATTTAATAAACGGGGAGGATCAGAATAAAATATTAACTCCAAAGCTTCGATAAAGAAAAAATGAACAGAGTTGGAAAGAAAAAAATAGGGACGTCCTTCCCTTTCTTCTCCCATCTTGTACGCACCGAAGAACAATTGGATTGAAAGCAATAACAAACATTTTTCATACTTGAAAACAGTATTTTTCTTTTTCCATTTTAATCATTCGTATTACAATGTTCAATGGGCTGCCTTGTCATTCACCTCATAAAACGAAATAAAGTCGATAGAAATTACAGCAATTATCACACTGAGAGTGATGTATAAAAAAAATTTATAGAACGAACAAATAAAGACAATAATCGAGGACTAATTCATACAAATGACAGTCTCTACCACAGTTATATTACAAATACAAGTAACAAATAATATATAATAAATGAGCATATCTCTTTCAGGTTCCTCCAATGAATAATGTGGTAGTCTAAACTAAATGAGACTGATTGGTAAATTGATGATTCCAATCACTTTCATCATATTACTCGTGTTTTCAAAATTCATCACTGTAAACCCCTGATTTGTTTTTACCTCAATTTATTACAAAGTCACATTTATTACTCCTGTTTCTATCTCAGCGTCATCAACTATATAAATCGATGGTATTTTTCTATTCACATCCTACCTCCTCAGCTCTTCAGTTTCACAGAAATTCACAAAATAATCTCACCAATTGCACATCCAATTGACTCAAAAAATCCACCAACACTCAAACAATTTCTATTTATAAACAATAAAGAAAAAAATCATCTCACGATTGAATTTATCATTATTTTTGCCCTACCCTCCGTGTGCTTGGATCTTTTAATAATTCCCCACCACCCTCCAGCAATTTCACTCAAGCTACACTTGAACTTTACGGCAAACAGGCCCTAAACAACTCAAGAGAAAATATAATCCTTGGATGGATAATGCATCAACTTCAAAGGCTAGCACGCTAATAATTACAAAGTAAATGTGAGTGAGGAAGGCTGAGGAAGGCAAGGTGAAAATATTTATCTAATAAACGAGGGATGGGAGTAAAGGGGGAGG